TTACTTTGGGTATCCAAACCAGACTGAGAGTTCTACATATATGTGGAAATGTGCACCTCTCTCTGGAGGGACGCACACTACCTACACAATTCTGGAGACTATAAGGTGGAGGTTGGTGAAAACCAAGGTTTGTACTGCTGGAGTTTAACCCGTTAAAACTACACAGCTCATCATTGAAAGAATTGTCTAGCTTCCCATTGCTTAACTAGCTTCTTCATCTGAACCTCTCTTGTGATCCTGTAATAGCCTTCCTCGACGTGTTTATCCACACTGCACTTTTTAACAGTTAATGAACTAACCAAATAGTATTATTTGGTGATGGAGATAGCACATGTCCAATAAGAGATGAGGGGAAGCTACTGACTATTCCAATACAGTAACTGATGCAAACTATCACAGTGGATTTGGCAATGGGTAATGTTTATTTAGCGATGAATTCCATTAGCAATAATTTTCTCCGACGTGGATCTTTATCAAGTATTTTCTGTTTCAGGTCAATAGAGAGTGATGCTAGACTCATTTAAAGGGTGGTTAGAAGTGGACAAGGGAGGATCATTTTTTTTGCTGAGCCACATGCCTGACACATGAAACCCACCACTATGCTTAGGAGTATCCAAACCAAACATCCATGCATCCCACCTACACACGAAGTTTCCCAAATATTGGAACGGACTGCACATTCTCTCCCTGGAGGGAAGCATCCTGCTTACATCTTTCCAGAGCGTATTAGGCACAGATCAGCAAGAGCCAAGGCTTGGGGACCCTAGAGTGTGGTGGTGGGTTACTGCTGGAGTCTGACCAGCTAAAATCCCATTACTTGCTTTTGATAGCACTGTCAGGCGAGCTTTCCGAAGGCTTGTCCAGCTAGGACCACCCTACCGTTCGGGCTTTTGGAGGGCAAAGGGGGGTGGGGGTTGGGGGGAAGGCAAAGGGGGGGTTGGAGGAGGCAAAGGGGGGGTTGGGAGGAGGGTTTGGGAGAAGGATTATGTGATAGTTCAGTGTTTAATAGCTCTTTAGTAAGTAACAGAGGAGTTTTTTATTGAATCTGTCAAGTGGCAAGCATGAGAGATGGGAGCTCATCACTATTATCGGATAAATTTGCATTTCTATCCTAAATGTCAAAATGTTCAGTCTCAAATGCAATTACTACTACATTCTGAAGTGAACACTAGACTTTTACAAACTGAAATTGCATTGAGAAGGTGGCAGTAAGGATTATCTTACATTAATGCAAAATAAGTATCATTTTACAGTGCTAGCTGCTGCAATCTTTAACAAGCTTTAGGTAAGCCGATTAGATTCTCATTGCAGTTTTAAGGAGAATTGTGGAATATACGTATGATCACCTTCAAGACTCTCTACGGTTTTGCCCACTCCTACCTCCGACCTGCTAATCCGTTATCAGCCTGTCCGCTCCTTCTGCTCAGCCAGCCCCATGTCCACTGCCTGGCCTGCCCCACCATTGGCAGTCGGGCCTTTAACCTCTCTGCTCCTACCCTCTGGGACTCCATGCACATTCCCTTCACCTCGCTGCATCCCCTGCCTCCTTCAAGACACGCCTCAAGAGCCTCCTCTTTGACCATGCCTTCGGCTACCCTCTCTGCCCTTCACCCTCCCTGATCCTAAACCCCCGCCACTAGGTTCCTAATCCCTGATTTTTCAGCGCCTTGGGAAGTCCTCCCGATGTTAAAGGCGCTTTACAAATGTAATTTTGTATTATATTGTATGACCACCCCATCATAATTTAATTTGTATTTTATTTTGTCAGAATCATCACTGAAGTCCTCCAAGAGCGAAGTAAGTAAAATGCACTGTTGATATTTTTATATGGTTATTTCTTAATATGTGAGCTGTATTTTGACATGAATTCTTATTCTCCCAACTGAATCAATGATTCAATTCCTTCTGAATGTTCATCTGTCTTAATATTTGTTGTACTGAGTAGACATTCATTTCATAGGTTTAAAGTGCAGCACAATCCCTTGGACCACACTCAATACCAGAATAATACAACACCAAATTGCATTTTTATAATGCCTTTCATTTCGGGAGGATGTCCCAAGGTGCTGGACAGTCAAGGGTTTGCACCCGAACTGGAAGTTGGAATCAAGAGGGGTAGGGTGGGAGGATGACCGAGAAAGGTCTTGAGATAGGCCTTGAAGGAGGCAACGGAGGAGGCGAGATTATATTGTATAGATTAAACTAGGTGGAATTTCGAGCCTATTTTTTCACAACAGCAAATGCACAGTTAAGTGCAATCAATTAAAAGTGCAGCATCAAGGGAAAGGATTCAGAAGGTAGTCTCATGCTGGTACTCTGCTGTGCTCAAATTCTACCAGTACTGAATGTTTTAAACAGCTTATTTAGCAGTAAAACCTGTAGAGGAATCACGTTTCCCTGAATCAGCATTTACGCCAATCCTATCTCATTTATTTATTTATTTATTTAACAACTTTTTTTTGTAAATTCCCATCATAATTCTGCTTCAAGGTAGAATAAAATTCAGTGGATAGTTTTGTCAATTGTTTTGCCTAAATTTTCAAGCTAGACATTGTATAAATTATCTGAGTTTTGGTTTTTTTAAATAACCAAAAGAATGAGTGGTTCAGACAGGTAGCCAGTTTCACTCATTATTCACTCAGAGTCCTTCCTTATTGGGTTGACCTGGCACTGAGTTTTCAAAAGGATTCCAATAGTATGAATTCACATCAGGTGCTGAGTGAACATTTGTCGTTGTTGAAACCTAGATGTAATTTACCATTGATTCCTGTTAACCTTCCAAGCCAAAGCCATAAAGAGTAGGAGCTGGACATGTAACTCCATGTTGCATGGAGATGTACAGCGGAAAGCTTGCCAGGCAGTGCTCTTAATGGTAAGCCTCATGGTTTTAGCTGATAAAACTCCAGCAGTACACGCTGGAATCCCCATATCTCGATTCTTGCACCTAAGGCTTTTCGGATTTAGATAATCAATTTGTGTCTGGGTAAGGAGAGCATTCAATTTCAGACCCGTGTATACACATGTGAAACTGCCAGGTTTTGATGCTCTTTAGCATGGTATGAGCTAAAGACATGTCAGACACTTGTCTGATTATACAATAAGTATTGACCTGCTGCTACTGTGCACATTAAAAGTATTCCTTTAATGTAGTTCTACAAAAGAAAGAAAATAATTTAACCATAGGGATCCTTCTTTCAGATTGAGTATTGGAATGTGAATCAGAGGGCCCTACCTTAGCTAGTTGGTAACTGGATTAGGCCAATTATACATAATTACAGAATTCTGAGTCTACTGTAAACATTGGGTAGAAATCCCTCAAATCTCTTCATTTGAACATATCTTTTCAATTTCATTCAATTCTGCTAACTTACATAAAACCTATGCTTCCATTACTGTATTGTTTGCTACTACTGCATTAATTTACAAATATCTAAATTATAAATTGGTATATTGTTACATAAACTATTTTTAAGCAAAATCACCTTGTGCTTTATTTTCTTGGTTGCATATCCTCAATTTGTTCTCTTCTGTCTGCCAGCTACTCCAGACTGCTGTGATTGCCCAAATGGATGATATTGAGAGGACTGTGGATAACATCATGCGCCTGAAAAAAATCAATCCTGATACTAATCCACAGTAAGGATATTTGACATTTTAGATTGTGCATTTTCACTAAGCTGTGGTATAGGAATCAGGAGTAGGCCATTTGGCCCCTCGAGCCTGCCCCGCCATTCAATAAGATCATGGCTGATCTTCTAACCCAACTCCATCTGCCCGCCTTATCCCCATATCCCTTAATCCCTCTATCCTTTAGGAAATGTTAATCCTTTAGAAAAAAATCCTTTAATTTTTACAGTTTACCATAATTAAAAATAACAACAAGATTACATTTGTATAGCACCTTTCACGTCAGGAGGACGTCCCAAGATGCTAAGGTTCAGTATAAGATTCAGTATAAGATTCAGTAATGTGCTAGTTATGATCTTCCCACACAAGGCTGTCATGGGCATAAAGTGTTCAAGCAAACAACCTGTCCTGGAATGATTTTTAAAGTTTTAAAAAAATAGCACAAGTTTGTCATGTTATATAACTGATCAGTAATTGGACTTGGGATTAAAAGCTTTGTATGTAAGGGTAATGGGGATGTCCTGTGGGAAAGAAGCAGCATAAATAATGATTATATGCAACAGTTTTCTATCCTTTCTTTATGTGATGCAGGAGTAAGGTTTAGTAGGTGCTAGTTTGCTGCCTGTAGCTTAATTACCTAAGTGGCCATTCATTGTGTGAGACTAGGACAGTGAGTCCTGGCAGGTTATGTGATGGTTCAAATTTTGAGCCTATGTAGTTTCCAGTTTTCCATTGAGTTAATACCACTTTGCACCAAGACACTGCCCTGCAAGTAGCATTTATATATCATTAAAACAAGTTGTTGGTTTAGACCCCTCTCGCCCTATTAATATATCACATATCCTTCACCACCTAATCGTATTGGAATAATGTAAAATGCCAATTGACATGAGCAATGTTAAAATTTCAATTCATTTGAAGCAACAAAAATATGTGTTTTATACTAACTGAAGTATTGTGCAAAATCTTTATCTGGAACATTACAATGCATTTTCCGGTCCTTTGTTAAGTAGTACAAGCAGCTGAATGTCAAACTTCCTGAAGACCACATAACAATTAGTGTTTGTAATACACTGACTCTCGTTTGTTGGGGTTGGAACAGGAATTTCTGCAGCTTCTTTCCTGTTATAGATGTCATCTGCAGTTAGGATAGCCTCCCCCATATAACATCCTGTTTTAAAACTCATAAACCTTGTTTTGCTTTTAACCTTGCTGTATTGGATTGCAAAGGACATTTACCTAGGAAAGATTTTTTTTACCCTGTACTTTTTCCTGTATATCCTAATTTCGGAACTTGAATTAGGGGCTCCCCACAAGAAAGTACCTGACCTCTATTTCGCTCTGAGATCAGACAATTAGCGGGTAAAATCCCATGTCCTGCTTGGTATACCCTGAACAATTAATATGACACTTTCCAGTAGGACCATTCTGAAACTCCTCTCTTTTGTTTGCATAGGTTTGGGATTTCTCTGCAGGCCTGTCTTTTACAGATTATAGGGTATAGACAATTGATGGCTGAAGTGGAAAGGCTCCGCAGAGAGCAGTATGATTCAGAAAATCCACAGCATGAAGAATTGCTGTTGAAGGTTGGTAAAATAAGTTGGATTGCAACTGTTTTCACTTTTTCATTCATATTCAACTTCCAATTTGGTTATTCACATTTGGTAATATGAAACTTGTATAAAAGCCCTTTTACATTCCTGATGCAAACGCTTGATTTATTGTCACATTTTTAAATTATACATTATTGCACCCATTTCCTTGTTGGTTCCTCTCGGTCAGGAGGTTATGCCCTTTGTTGAGATTTGAACTCCTCGTCCAGACTGACCCTCCGTGACCATAGTGGTGAAGAGCACTACATTGTTGGAGCTGCCATCCTTCAGATCTTTAGGAGGAGGATAAAGATCCCATGGCACTATTCCAAAAAGAGAAGGGAGTGTCTTCTGACATAATAGCCAACAATTTTCTAGAATAATTAGTCATTCACCTCATAGCTGTTTGTGGGAATTTTCATTGCTCGAAATGGCTGCTCTATTTGCCTATAAAAATGATCTCATCACATTTGCTAATATTTACTCTGAAGCACTTTGAGATATTTTTCACAAATAATGCGCTATGAAATTGCAAATTCTTTCAAGCTCTTCTTCCCATGAAGAATTGGCCTGTTCGCAGCTTGTGGACATAAAACCAATGATTAAATTCGGTAACACTTGTATTTTTGTTTTACCGTTTAGGTCTAGGTGTTCGTAATGGCTTTTTGTTTTATCATTACGTGCCAAACTGCAAAGCTCCAGCATTCACTGGACTCTTCCCATCTTTCTCTTAAAGTTTGTGAGTTGCTTGTTATTGTACGTTATACAACTTGAAATTGATTATGAGCTCAACTAAACTAAATATCCTTACTAATCTGTGCATAAAGTACAAGTCTTTGAGTGCTTACGTGGAAACCTGGGAAAGCTTGAGAACAACTTTGGATGTTGGATTGCTGCACAAATGAAATACAGCACTAACAGCATTTATTTCTGAAATTAATACATAAGTTTTGCAATATTGTATCATCAATGTAAGAAACTGAATTTGAATTCCAAGTTGTCTATTTCTTCGTCTAATCCATTGCAGCACAGAATGTGTAATGTTCTGTTTCTTTATATCAAAACCTGACAGTTGTGGACACTCCTTCATCCTGATGTAAAGTTGGAAGCTCGTATTAGCAAGCAATGGTGTGAAATAGGTTTCCAAGGAGATGACCCAAAGACAGACTTCAGAGGAATGGGGATGTTGGGATTGAATAACTTGGTGTAAGTAGATCTCACTTTTTTGTCTTAGGAAAGCAATCAATTATGTTTGTGAGGACTGTTCCTTGGGTGTCCGCAACCCTTTAATTGTTCGCCCAGAGGAATCCAGATGGGATGTGTCCGTAGGTTATGCAGCCATGGAAGATCCACACATTCACCCTTTCTATACTGGGTTAATGGATAGTTATCAGAGGTGGGACCCTCTGGCTGTACTTCTTTCCTTCCCTGTCTCAGGGTTATTGAGACCCTCACCAGTGACATCAACTAATGCAGCCCTCAGTGGGAATCAAATCTGGGTTATGCCTACTGTTTAAGATATGGGTGGTTTGCTCCCAGGCCTTTATCAATGCTGCTATGGAGCTTTCATGCTAGGAGCTGTTTAGGAATAGGAGACAGGATATTAAAGATTATCCTCTTAATTTGTTGTGTAATGAAGAAATCCTATCCTTTATCACCTCCTGATAGAACAGTTAAAGATGGAAGCTTGTTGTTGAAAATGGTCAACATAAAGCCACATTCACATGTTATATAACTCAATGATTGAAAAAGATCAAATTCTAGTGCTTGGCAGCTGTATCCTATGATTTTCACGCAACTTAGGTTAAATATGAAAAGCATTCAGCAGGAGCCCTGCATGGCTTTGCATCCTTACTTCTCCTCTCCCTCATTCTGCCTTTTTTTGTTGGAAAGAAAGCTTTGAAATGTTAATGCAACTTTGTCTATACTGAATACAGTATTATGCCTTCTCGGTAATGTCCTGGAGGCTGTCCTAGGACGTTGCTAGTGTTTGTCTCTTCTGTATGAATTTTGTGAGTCCTATTCCAAGATCTTACCAACAGTTTTTGTTCAGTTTCTTTGCAGAACATGACAATTCAGCTGCACGCCTGATACTTTTTGATTCTCAGCAGCCAAAGTACAGGTAATTCATCCTCAATTGCTGAACCTTGTTTTATGATCTCCCAGTTATGTCTCAGATCACGAGATCTGGAATGAATGTCAATGTTCTACTTCGCAGTAGGTTTTGTTCTCCAGACATCGTATAATGTATATCCCCATGCAATATCCCTTTACATGCAATTAAACTAAATGAAAATTCCCCGTTTATTGCACTTTTGTAAGAGTGATAACACTAAATTCAAAATTGTTGCTTTATTCCAAATATCACTTCATTTTCACCTGTTTCCACTCTTAAAATCCGCAAAATCATCATCAGTTTGACTTTTTAAAATGTGCATTTACTTTTGAACTACTGACGGGACTACAATTTCTATGTAAATATAGCAGTTTTCTCCTTGTTAAAAAAAAAAAATGCTAATCTCACTGCTTGCCTCAAGAATTTATGTTTTAGGTTGGGTTGACTTCATGCTATGACATTAATTTATTTGACCATTTTTATAATTTTCTTTCATTTCATTCTTTTTCTTATTTTTTAGGGAACTAACCAAAGAAGATGTAAGGTATTTCTGACACCTTGATTTTCTTGATTTCTGTTCATATGCATCTTTATTTATGTTATTTAATATAATTCTTATAAGATATTCATTAATGTAAAATTATTTTTAAATGTGTGGGATTCTTATCATATCATCAGTGATGCAAGACAGATTCAAATGAACAAGTCTCTTCGGCTAGTTTGACTTCAGCCATCCAGAATACTAACCATGCCATTTTCCTAGTGTAAGCACAAAACTTTTAAATTGGTCCAGTATCCTGGCCTCTCCCACTCTTCTTAATGATTACCTGTTGAAACAGCAACAACAACTTGCAATTATATAGCACCCTTCACATGGGTAGCATCTCAGGGCACTTAACCTTTGTTAGTCAGTTTTTAATGGCAAGAGGTAATGTCCAGGTTTTGCCTAGTTAAAAGCAGTATCCCACAGCACAGGCTTTTGCCAACCTATCTATACCTAATACGTTTTAGGATAAGGTGAGTAGCATGTGTCCCTCGGGGGGTAAAGGAGTATGCACTCTATTCTAGAGACACTAGAATTTCCTTACACGTGTCTCAGTAGTTTGGTTTGAATCCTCTTTAGCATAGCAATGTGTTTCTGGATGTGTCAGACACCTGGCTGATTTTTTTTAAAAACTGAAAAAACACTTTTTAGCATCTATGGGTGCCTGGGTTTTAATCTATTATAGACACGTAACAGCAATATCCCAATGACAAACATTTTCTCTTAATCTGATCATTTCTGTTCAGAAAAGCCCATTAGAGTATGTACACAGTGACCTGTCCCGTGAATTCCAGAGCTAAAATTACTATGGTCTCCCACTCAGGTTTCTGATGTGTAAAGAATAGATAACAAATTATATAATTGATCACCTCAGGGCAGGGTTGTAATAAGGCACAGCAGTTGGTCTTATAAAATCTACTAAAGCATTTGCAGTACCAGCTGAAAGTATTGGTTATAAGGAATCCCAGTCTAATTCATTTGTACATATCAACACTTCCATTGTATATCTACTTCAACATGTACTAAAGTTGAAGTGGAATCCTAGCCCTAGATATCATAGTTCTGGGGTATTAGATTCCAGCAATTGTTATTTTGCCAATTTCACCACTGACTCCCAGGATTTCTGTTCCATGTTAAGTTTCTTACTTCTATGCCCAGTAAAAGAAATCTATTAGTACAGATTCTAGGTTTTGAACAGTTTTTGAACAGATGAATCCCACAAATGGGATTGAGAGAATCTGACTGAAGTATACACAGACTTGAATGATCAAATACCTTGCAGTATTTGTAGAAACCGTGGAATTGTCATCTCTGAAGTGCAACCCAAAGTTATAATACTTGTACTTGATATAGCACCTGATCACGTTGTCCAAACATCTCAAAGTACTTCACAGGATATAATATAAAGTGGTTTGATTGTATATCTTGCGGGTGAAAAATTATACATGGGTCCAATTCCCAGCACCTTGGGACGTCCACCTGACGTGAAAGCCGCTATACAAATGTAATTTTGTGTTGTAATCTGGATAACTGGACACAGGTCATGTTTTTTTTCCTCATCTGTGCTTTTGTTGTTTTAAACTGTTAGGGGCATTGGTGAATAAGGCAATAGGCTAGAGGGAATAGTGTTGATTTCAGAATGCTGTTGAGTTTGAGACTACTTGTCTTTCAGATTTGATGGTAGTGAGATTAATCAGTTTGTAGTTGGTATGCTTGCTAGATGAGCTTTCTAATTCAAAAGAAAAAAACTGATGTTACTTGTCAGTCAATAATGGAAGGCGGGTTATGAAATAATCCAGTCTGCCTTTCCAGAAATACTGAGCAGGAAATTCCGGGGAAGGAAATAGGGAACTAAACAAATGCAATGGGATTATTTTTCTTTCCTTGCTCCACTGCTAGCTCCTGTGGTAATGACATTGTGTGTCTGTGTGTGTATGTGTGTAACTAGAAGAAATCGCTTGGGTATTTTAAGAGAAGCAATAAACTTCAGCTAATACAGCCAGGTAAACCACGCTACTGCCTTACAGATGACGAGTCGAGGATCACCCTGTTTGAAGGAGGTATAACTGGACCTTGCGGTCTCCATTGTTTTTGTAATACTCTGCATGGTCTTAAGAGGAGCAAGAGTTGTATCGTAGGTATTCTTACACGTATATTACACGTATATTCTGTAATAGTAGACATTTAAGACTCTGTCATCTCCCACTGCAGGCTTGTCAATTATAATTCCAATAATGTCACTTATTCATGTGAACGCTTTGCTATTAAAAGCATAGAACAAACACAGTAAGAAAGTAAAATACAACAACAAAATCACATTTGTATAGCGCCTTTCACGTCAGGAGAAATACCAATATACCACTAAACAAAAATAAGGAACTATTTTTACTTTTTGAATAGTACATGCATTACAGGCATGGCCTATGAAATGTTTCTGGATATGATCAGTTTAAAAGTGTCTAGGCCATATTAAAACTTCCTCATCTGTTCAGCAATACTAAATACATCACAGATTGTTTTTTAATGGCGTGACTGACCTCAAACTTGGAAAATCATTTTCTGATACGAGTTAATTAATACGGTTTTCTTTGTTTTCACAGCAAGATGAATACAAAAGAATGGGAAAAGAAAAGGTTCGATAAAGCAATTGGGTGAGTTTTTCATCAACTCAGTTTTGGGATTGGATTTACCACAAAAACAAACAGAATAGTGTTCCACACACTGCTGATACTTAATTAAGGTTACTTCAGAGAACATTGTCTCAAGGGAGAAAAAGTTGCAGGTTTCAGACCTGGACTACACGTACAATCCTTTTAAAGATGTGTCTTGCTCTCTACCCTCTGGTACATAAATATAGAGATAGGCTGGACTGCTCTTGTCCACCTCCAAGCAGCTGCTTCAGAGTGGCATAAAAAGGTCTAAAAGGATGTTGATCAACAAGAAAACAATCTGCTCCCAGGCTAGTGCTATCCTATACCTGATCGTAGGAAGTTGCCTGATTTCAGCAATGACATGACATCTCGTGTTTATTTGGGGGGAGTGGGGGGGGTTAGTGTTTCATCTCCATTTCACACCAAAAGAAGTGAAGGGAATTATAGACTAAAAACCCATTGCGGTACTGAAATACTTTGATTTCATTATGTTATTAAACATATAAGAACATTAACCAATGAATATCCGTACACTTTATTCTTTATTCCCTCTTTTAGGTTTTCCTTTGCTATCGTGGGGATTAATATTACTGACCTTGCATACACTCTGCTTGTGAGTGGAGCGATGAAAACCCATCTGTATAATATTGCCCCAGAAGCACCATTACTTTTTCATTTCCAGAAGACGTTCTGTAAGTTATCCTGAGAATTGTTTGGGATGTGTTCTAATTTTGAAGTGCAGTTAATTCAGCATAATTGTTTTAGTATCCATCAATGTGAGTGTAAAACTTGTACATCTTCTCCAGTTATGTTTTGCCATTCAGATACTTGATGGAAGTTGAACACTCAGTTATTGTCATCCTCAGAGAGTTTGTCTGTTTCGTACAAATAAAAGGTTATCTGTGATATGTAGAGCAGAATTCCATTGCCTAGTTTTCTTCCAAAAGAGAAGAAATGACGCCTATCAATGAGAGGTGGAGTGGAGATATTTGATTAATAATAATTATAATAATCCTTGCATTTGGTTTAGTGCCTTTCATGGCAGGAGGATGACACAAAGCGCTTCACTGTGAGGTGCTGTAACTGTTTTTTGTGGCCGAACTATTGCCAATGATGTATACACGTTAAAAATGTTTTTCCATCTTGTAGTTTTAATGTTGACTGAGAATATGACGATCATAGACCACCTATGGTATAAAATGTTTTTAAATCATTTACAGCACAAAAGAAATTTGGCCTATTGAATCTGTACCGGCTGTCCCAGAAACAGGAGTAGGGCATTCAGCCCCTCGAGCCTGTTCCACCACTCTATCATAAGATCATGGCTGATCTGTATCTCAAGTGCAATTACCTGCACTTGCCCATATCACTTAATACCCTGACTTACAAATATATCCTGACCTATCAAATGACTCAAAATTCTTCAATTTAACTGAATTTTGTGGCTGGTTTGTTGCCTTTATAACATTATCAGGCACGAGATTCTTTTCAAAAATTGGCATGCTGAAACATGAACATAATTCGTATTAGGCAAGCTGTTCTTTCAATCCCAGTGCCCTTGCCCTATCCTGAAGTGAGCCCAAAATTGAACACAGTACTCCAGTTGCAGCCTAACTAATGATTTGTGCAAGCTTAGTATTAATGCTTTACTTTTGTACTCTCATCCGCTATGTATAAAACTAGCATATCCATTTCTGAATAGAAGACTTGAGGCAGGGCAGCGTAATATGCTACAGCCAAAGATTTGGGCCACTTAGGGCCACATTTGTGCCCTTGATCCACCACATGCTGAACATTTCCACAGTGAGAAGTGGTAAAGCACTTCTAGGGATGGTGCTCAGTACAGGGAGAGCAGTGAAAAGAATGGAAACAAAGGTACATCAACAGAAACCTTGACATTCTCCCCCACTGCCCCCCTCCAAAAAAAAAGGGATGAAAAACAATTAAATTGAGAGAAACCCTCTCATCGCATTTCAACAGAATTGCACTAAACATTTCTGAGTTGATGACATCAAACAGTAATGTCCAAGGACAAGGTGTTTATGGACACAAAGTCCGAAAGATGAATTATGTTCATATTTTAGCATGCCAATTTTTAAAAGGAATCCAGTGCCTGATGTTATAAAGGCAGCAAACCAGCTACAAAGTTTAATTAAATTTAAGTATTTGAGTCATTTTGGCAAAATTATAAGATGCTACATCAAATGCAAGGCTGATTATAACTCAGTCTGGTTTGGATACTATTAAGTACGGCAATGAGTTTCCATGTGTCAGACTCTCAGCTGCCCAACACCTCTCCCCCTGTTTATCGTGCTCCAGTCCAGCAGGAAATATTTCCAAAGCACAACTGATGGAATTCCGAACAACCCTGGACTAAAAAAAATACTATATCAATCATAGTATTTTATATGTGAAATTACAAAACACAAGAGCAATATGAATAAGTTTCACTCAGAAATTTGGAGATGGAGAGGAAGAAAAAGGTACTGACCAAGAAGATACCTTGCATGAAAACACAAGAATCGATAAAATTATGAAAGGCTAATTGGCAATCGGACCTGCTGGTCCACAGAAAATCTGTCCTTTCATAATTCATTCTATTGCCTGGGAGAATACTCTCACAAAAAGCAACCATATAGAAACATTCCACATCTCCACTGTTCAACCCTGCGGCTTCCGTCTTTTATAATTTGTTTGACATTGTGCAATACCTTGATATGCAATCTACTATTTGATTAGCTTTGTTGGTAACAGCTGCAAATTGACTTGAAACCTTCATTGACTGATAGTCTTCACTCCTTCTAATAGACATGTCTTTCGTTATCTACCTATTTGCTTTGATTTCTTCTAATATGCATTACTTTGCAATTATCTACATTAAAATCTTTGCACCATTCCTTCTGCCTTACATCATCTTTAGATATAGGCTCCATTACATGTCAGTATTAGGTAATATTACAGTGCTCTGTGTTGATCTTCACATATTTTTTTCCTACCAGAGGAAGAAATGTTAAATGTTTATCTTGTACTGTACTTTATGCAGGCTATTTGATGCATGAGTTTCACGAATTCTGGATTGAAGAGGATCCCTTTGACATCATGGAGTTCAATCGTGTTCGAGAAAAGTTTCACAAACGGATTGTAAAGCAGCTTCAGAACCCAGACATGACCCTGTGCCCTCATTTTGCAGCTTCTGAGAGTTTAATGAATCTCTAGACTTTCATCATGCCATCAGTCACATCACTGCCTCACCTGTATATGTGTGTGTGTGTATACATTTGTGAACTGATATTTTAACAAAAAACGAGTTAAATCACAGCCTTGATCACAACCAGCATATTTAATGACCATAGTGACTGTATGCATGTTATGTTTTGTTTATTTAAGTACAATTGTTTTCCTTTTGCTGCAATGCAAAGAACTGCCATGGTGTACATTCACTTTGATCGTGAACATTTTCTCCATGGATATGTGCTCTTGTTTTGGCAGCATGCAGTGTTGTATTCTAATCATTTGAAAATACATTTCTGTTTTATTTCCATACATCAGCACTGATAAGCTACACTTTGTTTGGTGTGCTTTGCACCGTTGTGATATCAAGTTGTCTATAGTTCCATAAAACACCTTAGTTTGAGTTTTATCATGATCTGTCCAAACTTAAAGGCATTACTTTTTACTGAAGAATGTATGGTGTATTCTGATCAGAAGAATTTACACAAGTGTACATATAGGTCATTTTATGGGATTAAACCATGTTACATTTTAAAGTATAATTTTGGTGAAAGTATTACATAACTTCTGTAATTTGAGTTTAAACAGGGATTAATTGGATAGAACATTTAGAAGAAAAGTTCACTAGCAAATAGTTTCTTCAACTTCAGTCATGTATTTATCCAGTGAATTTGTGTTCTCACCACAAAAGCTGCTTGAGAGTTGACTTTAATATAAAAGTTTTATTTATAAGTGAAGGCGCAAAAGGCATTGGAACTAAAGTATGGCATTGTTGCAGTAAAATGCAATCCTCTTAAGTTTCTGTGTGAGGTGTGTTGGAAGGGTGGTGTAAGATGTAATAAGTATTCACCCCAGCGTTACACCAAACTTAGGGAAAAGTTGAGACTGAGGAAAGAGGCATTCACTAAGTACATAAACAACAAGGGAGAGCGTGACAAAAAAGAATACGAGGAGGTTAGGAATGAAGTCAAAAAAACAATTAGGAAGGCAAAGAGGAACTTTTAAATTATCAAGGAATATAAAAAGAAATAGTAAAATATTCTACAGACAAATAAAAGGAAAAATCAAAATAGGAATATGGCCACTAAGGGATGGACAAGATAAGCTCACAGGCAGCGACAGCAAAATGGCAGAAATATTGAATAATTACTCAGTATTTATCAGGGAGACTGATCAGGTGGACATGACATAGAAGAAGAGATCAAAAATTATATAAATACATTTAAGATAAAAGGGGGGAGATAATCGATAAACTAACCAAACTCAGGCAGGATAAAACACCTTCTGGATGGATTGCATTTGCATATATTAAAAAAGTCTAGGGAAGAGATAGCAGAAGCACTATTACATACATACACATATATATAATTCATTAGAAATGGGGGTAGTGCCAGAGGACTGGAGGATAGCTAATGTTATACCTATATTTAAAATGGGAGATAGAACAAGCCCAGGGAACTATAGACCTTTCAGACTTATCATTGGTGGTAGGAAAGATAATGGAATCCTTACTGAAAGAGATAATAGAAAAACATCTAAACTTGCTTAGTGGGCATTTAATTGGCAAATTAATTACAATATAGATGTGTGAGGTGGTACATTTTGGTAGGAGGAATTAGATCACATACTGCCTGGAAAATAAGAATCTAAATTGGGGTAGGGGAGCAAAGGGATCTAAGGGTACAGATACACAAAGTGCTCCAAGTAGTGACGCAGGTTAATAAGGCCATAAAAAAAAGCAAATGAGGCATTGGGGTTCATTTCTAGAAGGATAGAAATGAAAAGCAGGGAAGTTATGCCAAACTTGTATCGAACCTTGTTTAGACCACATTTGGAGTAGTGTACAGTTCTGGTCCCCATATTATAGAAAGGATATAGAGGCACTGGAGAAGGTGCAAAGGAGATTTACAAGGATGATACTGGAACTGCGAGCTTATACCTATCAGGAAAGGATGAACAAGCTTGGCCTCTTGAAAAAAGTGAGGGGTGACCTTCACCCTTCACTTTAAGCGATCTGAGACGCTACCCTGTGTGTATATAGAGGGTGCTATATAAGTGCAAGTTGTTGTTGACCTAATAGAGGGCTTTAAAATTCTGAAAGGTTTTGATAGGGTAGACATAGAGAAGATGTTTTCACTTGTGGGGGAGACCAAAATCAGAGGTCATAAATATAAAATAGTCACCAATAAATCAAATAGGGAAGTCAGAAGAAACTTCTTTACCCAGAGAGTGGTGGGAATGTGGAACTTGCCACCACAAGGAGTAGTTGAAGCGAATAGTATAGATGCATTTAAGGGGAAGCTAGATAAGTGCATGAGGGAGAAAGGAATAGAAGATTTTGATGATAGGGTTAGTTGAGGGAGGGCAGGAGGAGGTTCATGTAGAGCATAAACACCGGTATAGACCCGTTGGGCCGAATGGCCTGTTTCTGTGCTCTTATGTTCTATGTAATTATATGTATGTAATTCTACTGCGGTGATTTCTGGTTTCAAAATGGATTTCAAAATCCATTTCCAGAATGGTTATTTTCCACTTTGACTACAATATTTTAAAAAGTTATCTGAAGATTATACTGTGCAATGTTTCATAAATAGTTGTTGCTTCTACGAAAAAGTATTTGTCAAATTGGTGGAGTAACAAATAATATTGAAATGCATCATGATGTAACACACTCATGATTTCATAGCAAAAATCTATAACTCTTCCTCCTCCCCAATCAAAGATTTGCCAAACATTTTTTCATTAGCAGTGTTCTTTCAAATTCCCAAATTTTCAACACAGACTGTATATTACTGATTTTGCTTAGAGTTCTCACTGTTCTTATCTATACTCGCCTCTTCCCGACATCCTCAAGAAAAAAAACAATAATAAAAAAAATAATAAAATTGGTCACTTCAATCCACGACTGTTTGTGGGATACTGCTGTGTGCAACTGGCTGCCGCGTTTTGCCCACAAATATACAGTCAATTCACTACAGTATATTCTGTGAAGCGCTTTGAGACGTCTAGAAGACGTGAAAAGCAATATATAAAATGCAAGGATTATTATTATCCTAGTTGATCAAAATACAAAAATGTTCAAAATATATTGATTAAAATGAAATATCATATTCTCAATCTAATGTCTGAGAATAGCATACATAATTTCTCCAACTAAGCAAAACATTGAATCTACACCTACTGTAATAGGATACAATCTGTTCAATAGGATTAATGTTATAAAATCCTCCAGATTTTATTCCAAAACTTTGACACAATTCTAAAATTCAATGATTTTAAAAAGTGTCCTGAAGAATGTTGGTAAGAGCTAAAGTATTATGTTCTTTGAAAAAAATGTTTTTAAATCCCATTAATTGATCTATAGTAACTGAATTTCAGCACTTTTGCATGTGTTTCTTTTACTTATCTAGGTTTAAATCTGTGTCTTCTCTACTATTATAAAGCATATTTTGCTGGTTTGTTAAATTTACCACTAGTAATGAATGTTGAATATACAACATTTTCAATTATATTTCGATGTCTGACTTGTTGGAAATGTATTCACACTTATTGCTTTTTTAATAGATGTGCAAATGTGGATTAGTCTAAATGTATATGCTTAAATCTTAAACACAGAAAATGGTTTAAGTTAATGCACAGAAAACTAGACATTGTACTGTTATAAAAGATGATAAAAGGCATAGATAAAAGATCATGTCTTATCCATAATTGAAAATTATTGACAATCTTTTCCCAGTTAGAGGGAAGTTGCTAATATTACTAATATAATCTTGTATCAAATTTCAGATTGCTGAAAATGTTTAAAAATTACATGAACTGACTGTTAGCTATTCTGAACAAAACCTGGCGTGTTACATTAAGTGAATGTAAATTCCATTCCTTATAAGCATTTCAGTGATTACTTAGCTGGCTTATTCCTGTCACATGTAGAAATTACCTTTTATAACAATGCACCAGATCAGTATTATATTTATGGCAATACACATGGGTACTCACTGCAGTTCTTGAAGCCAGAGCACAATTGTGGTGTTTAGTTCAACCTTCAGTTATCTTTTAAGTATCTAATCAGGTCCTGGCCTACATCACCCATCTTCCATCTCTCTCTCTCCCCCCTACCCCCGATTCTAACCATCAAAAGCCTCTACCTTTGTCCATCCCATCTAGTGATCCCTGGTGATCCTGCCCGCATCCTCCCACCAACACTGCCTCTTTCCATATTTTCCACTTCCTTTGCCACATTATGAGTGGGTGAATCTTCAGCCACTTTGCCTCGCTCTGTGGAGCTTTCTCCCTAAATCCCTTGGGCCTTGCACTTGTGACTACTCCTTTGGTTATCCCCCCACCCCCGTCTCTCAATCCTGCAGACTCCCACTTTATCCCTTGAAAACTGCTTTTGAGATGTCTAGCTATGTGAAAGATATTGTTGTAGAAAGCATATAAGAGATAGGCTGTTCAAGTGAGCTTTCATTGATATGCATTTTCAACCCAGTTTGCCTGTTTGGATTCAAACCCTGTCTATTTGTGTTTAATACCAGTTGTATTGAAAACTAAGGAATGACTTGAGAAAGAATCAAACTGTCAAAAGATTGAATAGAAGAGAAGTTTGGAAAATTAAAATGTGACTAGTTCATGTAAAAAAAATTAGGAAGATATAATTGCTGTACTATTTCCTACATATTTACTTGTGCAGCAATAAGTGCAACAATTATTTTGAAGTTTGGACATTTTTATTCCTATTGAAGCCTTCAAATAATAAAACCTTTTTGGTCACTGTATACCAAAAATCTTTGAAGGTTCTTTATATGATGATTTGACTGCAGTTTAGAAATCTATCCGTTTCTTCCGATTACACAATTCTGTGCATTCCTACAGAGTGGCTCTCCATGGCCTTGCTGCCCTGTACCTCTGCAACCTCCTAATCCCCTACCAAACTGCTCGCTCCCTCCGCTCAGCGGGCTGCGGCCTACTTCATGTCCCCTGCCTCGCCCACCCCACCATTGGTGAGTGGGCCTTCAGCCACTTTGCCCCCATCCTCTGGAACTCCATCCCGCAGTCCTACCACCTCAACCCCCCCACCCTTTGCCTCTTTCAAGACACATCTCAAGACCTTCCTCTTCGACTATGCCTTCAATCACCCCCACCTTGCTCTCCACCCTCCCCTATCCCGACCCCCAGCTCGGGTCCGAAACACTGATTATCCAGCGCCTTGGACGTTAAAAGCGCTGTACAAATGTATTTGTTGTTGTTGTATATTGCTAGTTTTGTTTTAAAAAGTGCAATATCATTTTTTGATGTAATTGGTGTCCTGGCCAACAATCCCCCAAATAAAATTGTTCACTCACTCCATGGCTGTTTGTGTGACAATTTTTGTGTGCAACTGACTGCCATGCGTTGTCCACAAAATACACAGTCTATCCACTTTGCAGTGTATCATGTGACAAGCTTTAAGACGTCTCAATGATGTGATAAGGCGCTATATCAAATGCAAGGGTTATTATTATTTTGCACCCTCTCCCAATTACCTTATAGGAATCAATAAAATGCATGAATATTTTATTTTGAATAATCTCAGCAGTTTGTAGTGTATAGCAGTTATGGGCTTAATATGGTTGAAAAATACAATTTGTATTTTTAGTGATGAAGCCTTTAGACTAGGCTCACAGACAAGCTTCCTTAATAACTGGAATATTTACATAGTGATGCCTTCCCTATTCCTTGTCTCCCTCGCCCCCACCCCTGCCCCCAAAATTCAAAATTCATGTGGAGTCCTGTAGCTCAGTGGTTAGAGCACTCGCTTTGCAAGTGAGAGATCTGAGTTCAATTCCAGGCAGGGCGAAACCTTGGGCAAGTTTCCTTACTCCACACGCCTAATAATAATCCCTCCAAAAAACCCAAAACAATAATTAAATTGGTCATTTTCAATCTACGACTGTTTGTGGGACATTGCTGTGCGCAATTGGCTGCCGCGTTCGCCCACAAATATACAGTCAATTTACTTTACAGTGTGTTCTGTGAAGCGCTTTGGGACGTCCTCCTGACGTGAAAAGCGCTATATCAAATGCAAGGATTATTATTATTATATAAGACAAGCAGCAGTGGAATTAGGTGGAAATAAAAATGAGTTTAATAGTTCAATGGAATATAAATGTTCAAACTGCATCAAGTAAATAGGGATTTTAAGTTCCCACCTACGAAGTATCAGATCTAATTGAGTTAGTCATGCACCAGATAGTTTAATCTAATAAATGTAAAGCTATTTTGATGGCTATTTGACTGGGTTACTGGTTTAGTGTGCAGTGGAATAACTAAATTGATCTGTTTACTAATTTGCAATAAGTATTAATGACAAGAGAAAAAACAATTTGTGTATAAAGAAAAGCAAAGTGTAAGCTACAGTATCAATTTTAAATAATTGCAGTATTAGGCTAGAATGTGTCCTGAAATGTACATGATTTAGATGAGCGGTCTTGGAGTGAAGAAGTACTGCATAGTTGTGTTGCAATGTGTTACACTTGTGTTTTTTTTAAAAAATCTTAACACAATGAACATTATTAAATGGTGAAAACGTGTATTGTTTTATTTAACACATTTTATTTACTGGAATCATTTAAATAAATGCTTCTGCACCTACTTTGCAGTGAGTCTTGATTACTTTGCCCTGGAAATAAGTTCGGCTTTTTTTAAGATTGTCAAATCTGTTGAGTTCAGATGCCCAAAAGTTATATTCAATCTGTATAGTGTTCTGATCGGCTGCGTCTAAGGCAGTGCACACACTCCTAGTCACAACAAAAGGGATGATCCGGACCCTAGAGACAGTGATTAGACAAGCTAAGGTTCCTCAGTCCTGAAAGATGGTGGGGTGGGAGGGGCGCACCTTATAGAGGACTATAAAACTTCAAATGGGTTTGATAAAGTCAATCCATAACCACACTTTCAACACAATGACAGCAGAACATCAGGGCACATGTACTGCGGTTTGAAGCGTAAGTTCTGGACGGGCACCAGGAAGTATTTCCTTAGCCAGAGGGTAACGAGCGACCGCGTCAGGCGGTCGAGGTCAGGACGCTGGAGTCATTCCTGGTTCGATGCTGCTTTGGGAAGATGGCGGGCGGGCGGGCGGGCGGGTCGGTGAGGCCGGATCAATGGGATCAAACGGGCTGATCCTCCTCCTTCAACCGACGCCATCCTGTGCCATTGCCGTCCACAGAGGTGCAGCTGACCAGCCATCCCTGGGTTGTTATTTCAGATTGATACGTTTGCCCTTTAACCCCTCAGCCCCCCCACCCCCCCCCCAACCCCCACAAAAAAAAATTGAACCAAGTAAGTGTCCCCCTCAGCCATTGCCTTGTGTTGCCGCAGCCCTCCCCTATCACAGTGAGAGGAGGGGGGGGGGCGTCGCCACACCTCCAGTCAGCAAGATGGCGGCCAGACCAGATTAGGTCACTTCCGGCGGCGGGTTACGTATTTCCGGTGCGGTCGCCATGGCAGTGGCGCAGCTCAGGCGCTGACTCCGGGCAGTGAGTATACAGCGCCGCGGCTTCATCAGCATGTCGTTGTCGTTGTTGTTGTTGTCGTCCTCCGCCATCATTGGACACCCCCCACTCTGTCTCTCTTGTCTCCGTCTCTCTCTGTCTCCCTCACCTCAGCACAGACAGACAGGGAGTGAGAGCGAGAGCAGCCGCACCTCTGTGGGGAGGTGGAGATGTGTTAAAGGGGCTTTATAGGGGCCAACCCACACCCGGGGGGGGGGGAGGGCGGGGGTGTGGTGGGGGGTGGAGGCTGACTGCTGGGCCTCGATTCCCAAACCAAAGTAAATGAGAGCAGAAATGTAGCCACGCAAGACACCGAGGGAGCCGCCGCCGCCACCACCGCCGCCACCGCCGCCACCGCCACCGCCGCCACCGCCGCCGCCGCCACCGCCGCCAGGATAATTCTGCTTCTCTGTCATACTATTAGTAGTTTGGTCACTTCAGTCCACGACTGTCGATCGCGGGCCGCTGCCGGGCGCAATTAGTTGGCTGCCGCGTTTCTCCCGCAAAATATTCAGTCGATTGATTCACTTTGCAGTAGTTTCCGTGAAGCGCTTTTGAGGCGTCTCGACAATCCGATAAGGCGCCAGATCAAATGGAAGGATTATTTCTGCTTATTATGCTGTAGCCGGGTTTAAATACAAGGACTGGGAGTCTTACCTCTCCTGTCAGAGTCAAGCGTTCAGAGAAGGCGTTCTCAAACCTCCTGGGTTCAAGCCTTCCCCCTCCCTTCACCCATGACATTATATTAATCCTTGCATTTTCTATAGCACCGTATCACGTCGTTGAGACGTCTCAAAGCGCTTCACAGAATATACTGTAAAGTGGACTGACTGTATTTTGTGGGCGAATCGCCAACATTAGGCTTCCTGACTAAGAGCCTCCACTCAGGCTGAGCAGTTTGCCCCATTCCTTGCGCTAACCCTGCAAAGTGCTATATAATGGGCACTATATAAATGCAAGTTGTTGTATTCTCACCATGAACCTTAAGGTTAAGGCTACTGTTTCTCCAATCCCTCCAAATACTTCAGATTTAATTGCTGCATTTTAGTGGATTGTTTTAGTCACAGTCTGATAATATAATAATTACATTTGATATAGCATCCATAACGTCGAGCATCGGTAATTTCTGTCAAATGTAATGACCATTGTAGATAAACCCGGTAACCAATTTGTGCAAGGCAATGTCTCACAACAGCCAACCTATTTATCTAGAAACTGCTCTTTTCAAACAGTATCATGGAATCTTTACCTTCCTATGAACACATCCTTGTTTCAAGGTTTCATCCAAATGAAAGAGACAATTAAAAAAAAACTTGCTTTACACAAAGAGTGGGTGAAGAATGTCATCCTCTGCCACAAACTACATCAACAACAACTTAATAATAATAATAATAATCCTTGCATTTGATATAGCGCTTTTCACGTCGGGAGGACGTCCCAAAGCGCTTCACAGAACACACTGTAAAGTGAATTGACTGTATATTTGTGGGCGAACGCGGCAGCCAATTGCGCACAGCAATGTCCCACAAACAGTCGTAGATTGAAAATGACCAATTTTTTTTATTATTGTTTTTTGGTTTTTTTGGAGGGATTATTATTAGGCGTGTGGATTATTATAACTTGCACTTGTACAGCGCTATCCATGCAGGGTAGCGTCTCAGAGCGCTTAACAGTAACGGAGCCTGGCTCCAAGCTGGGGGGAGGGGGAGGAAAGAGAAAAGTTTTCAGGCTGGACTTGAAAAAGGGGAGAGAGGCGGCAAGGCAGAGGGATTGAGAGAGAGTGTTCCAGAGTGTTGGGGGGTAGTGGCTGAAAGTGGGACCTCTGATAGTGGGGTGGAGGATGTGAGGGAGGAGCAGGAGGCCAGTACTTGTCGAGTAGGGTTGTCGGGTGGTGGATTGGGGAACGATGAGGTCGGAGAGGTAGGGAAGTGCCAGGGAGTGAATGGATTTGAACACGAATGTGAGGTCTTGAAGACGATCCGTTCGGTGATGGGAGCCAGTAGAGCCTGGTCAGAACTGGTGAGACATCTGATGCGAAGTCCATAGATTCATTTGAAAGAAAATAATAGAATCATATACATTTACAGAAGTTACTTGGTCTGTCTTGCCTGCATTGATTCTTTGAAAGTTAGATACTTGAAAAGGATTAATAAAGGGTATGGAGTAATCAAAGGAATGGGATTAGATTAGATGGCTCATCTGAGGGAAAAAAAACAGAATTGGTGAGACGAATGTTTCTGTGCATAAAAGTCTATGATTCAATAATGCAGTAAGATACTAGGGTGAGAACTACTACTTTATGTTGGAGTGTTTTAAGGTTATCATGACTTCAAGTACTTTGTTTCAAAATATCTACTTGTGACAGGAGGCAACAATCTTATGTATGTATGTTCTGTTGCCGAAAAGTCAGAAAATGGTGAATGACACAAATAGCCTAAAGATTGATCACAAATATGAAGAATTTCTGTTCTTGTTCCAAATCAAAGAATTCATGGTTCCCGATCTCCAATTTCCCCTGATTATAATGCACACCCAAACATAAAAAATATATTTTCATGATAAATTACATTTTTAATAAAATAAATATTTTCATTAAAGAATCCAAAATCTGATCAGGGATACTATTAACATTGGAGGGACGAAATCAGATGTACTGATTGAAAGGGTTTATGATAAAAATGTTTCTCTTTCACAGATCAAGCTGTTAACCACATCAATCATGAATTCAGTTTCCAAGGCTGTTTTCAATGGAGTAGCTGAGAGGAGGACAGTCTCTCTGGTGGCTGAAGTCCATGGCAAACAGGTTTTAAATGTGCTACAGAGCTTCCGGGAGCAAAATGCATTCTTTGACTTCACTATATTTGTCAAAGGGGAGACGTTTCCATGTCATCGATGTATTCTGGCTGCATGCAGTGACTTTTTCAGGTAAACCGAATTCATGTTCCGTAGCATTCAACTTGGGGATTTTTTTTCATAACAAATGCAGTGTTCTAGTGATATTTAAGAAAAAATATTGTGGGGCCAGAATGCAGGGCTGGGTGAGGAAAGAAGCAGACCAGCAATCACCAATACCATTAAAGTTCTTCCTAGTTATGATTCTAAAAGTTGTTTCTAAAAGTTAGTTAGTGATGGTTCTGCTCATCTGGTCAGTAAGTCATCAAAATGTTCAACTGTGGCTGAGTACATGTAAGATAATGGGCAGGACTATGAAGATGGACATAGCTGATATTGTGATAGCATGTTAAGTATTCGATTATTCTAGTGTTCAAAGATTTAGTTTTTTTCGCCCTACCTTCCTTTGGCTGAAAGGACTAGCAAACAACTAATTCTGGCTTTTGCCCATCCCACTTTTCAGTTAGCCACTGGGAGGTGCATGAGAGTTTGCTAGGGGTGGTTTGTCCTTGACTTATTCACCCTCTACCCTGTGGAAAATCTGCTGGCCTCTGTATCTTCCCGAATTGGAACTGTGTGGGACGTCGTGGGTACAACCTACCTCCCACCACTCCATGCCACAGACCCTCCTCAGTCTTGAGAGAGAATAACTCAGAGAAGACCTCACAGAGGTGTACAACGTTTTAAATGGGATTCAAAAAGTAAATCTTATGTTCATAAATCCAGCTCAATATTTTTAGATATACCATGACAGTAGAACAAGAGGGCACATGTTTAGAGTTGTTATTCCTTTGTTTTATTGTGAGAATATTTATGCCATCATATTCTTCCTTTCATAGTCTTCTAGCCTTTGTACCCAAAATTCCACCTGTTCTAACTCCACCTGGCCAACAATCTCTCAGATAAAATTGGTCATTCACATAATGGCTGTTCTGGAACAATAATAAAATGCGCAATCACAACACTTTACACTAAAATCCGGTGAAGCTCTTTGATATCCACCTCCACATGAAAGGCCTAATATCAAATGTAAGGCTTATTTATTTATTAGAAAAATGGTAATGAGATTTCGCTGAAATCTCTGACCTCTACCAGTGTCATATTGTTGTAGTTAATGCAACCTGAATTGACACTGTTTTAATTCCCTGCTGTTTTTTAATTTCCTGCTGTCAGTTGGACATCTTGCCTCTGCACAATGTTGCACCTCTTGTCACAACTGGTCAAGAATGATAGCAGTCAGCTGCTGTCAGTCTATGTCCTTTAAATCCCTGAAGGGCTTGAAAAATACATATCATTTGCATTTTAATAGAATGGTTATAACTGATCACTGCACAGAATTTCATCTTCGTGTAGAAGGTAGTGGTCAGGTAGAAGTCAAAGAATCATATTCTTAAATTTAAAATGTTACTTTTACTTTATATTTACAGTATGTTCTGTGAAGCGCTTTGAGATATTTAGAATACATGAAAAGTGCTATATCAAATGCAAGGATTATTATTATTATATGAGGTTTGCACTCCAAATTCATTGACTAAACAAAACGTTAATGTAGTATATCTTGCAGTCAATTGAAAGTATGTTTTGAATAGACCCATGAGCAACAACAAGACAAGTTAGGGCTCCTCAGTCTTAAGAGAGGATGACTCAGAGGAGACCTCATAAAGGTGTACAACATTTTAAATGGGATTGAAAAAGTAAATTTTATATTCTTAAATCCAGATCAATATTTTTAGATGTATCATGACAGTAAAACAAGAGGACACATGTTTAGAGTTGTAAAAGGCAACTTCAGGACAGGGATACCAAGAAGTTTTTCTTATACAGAGGGTAATCAAAGATTGGAACAGGTTGCCAGGAAAAGTAGTAGAGTTCAGGCATTGAACTTTAACCTAAACAATAATGATATTTCCTACTTTATTTGAATTGCCAGCTGATTTATTACAGGAAACAAGAACAATTTCTAAAACAGAATCATTTGTTGAGTACTTCTGCTTATTGAGCATGTTCACCTCTCTCACCCAGTATCTGAATCAAGTATTCCCAGGTCAGGTATAGCTATTTTCATAGTAGAACGCTGTTTACACATGTCCATTTTTCTGCAGATTATTGAGATACCAGCAAAACAATATTGTTGTATACATATGTGAAGTTGCGCACAAGGTGGCTGAGAGATGCTCTAAACCTGACTAAACTAGCAACAACAACAACTCAAATTTATATAGCGCCCTCGCGCAGGGTTGCGTCTCAGAGCGTTTAACAGTGGTGGAGCCTGATTCCGAGGAGGGGAGGTGGCCGTAAGAACGGTCGAAGAGGAAAGTTTTCAGGTGGACTTGAGAAAGGGGAGAGAGGGGGCAAGGCGGAGGGATTGAGGAAGAGTGTTCCAGAGTTTTGGGGCGTAGTGGCTGAAAGCACGACCTCTGATGGTGGGGCGGAGGGTACGAGGGACGAGCAGGAGGCCGGTGCCAGTCGAGCGGAGGCGCCGGATGGTGGCTTGGGGAGTGAGGAGGTCGCAGAGTTTTGAATGAGCTGGATCTTGTGTATGGTGGAGGTGGGGAGACCGGCGAGGAGTGCATTGGAGTAATCCAAGCCCGAGGGTTTCGGCTGCATTTGGGGTAAGGTATGGTCGGAGGCGGGCAATGTGGCGGAGATGGAAGAAAGCGGTCCTGGTCAGGGATCGGATATGGGGGAGGAAGGACAGCTGGGGATCGAATCGGACGCCTACGTTGCGCACTGGTTCGGTGAGTCTGAGGAAGAGCCCAGGGAGGTTGAGGAGTTTAGCAACTTCACCCACATGCACACAACTTTGTATATACACACCCACAGGATTTTCTTGCCAGTAGTAAAATAATACTACCGCTCCCTTCTTGACCATTCAATATCTGTCATACGATGCATCTTTTTGACCGTGCTCTTTGACCATCTCATTGAAGCAACGCTTCACATTATATTGCCCAAAAAATGTGAAATCCAAACAATAGTATATAAATTTGTATTGTATACAAATTAAGATTAGAGACAGAGATAGAAAATTAGAGAGACTCAAAGAGAGACAGAAAGCACAGAGAGTCAGAGAGAGAAAGCCAGAGTAAAAGAGGAGAAATAGGAAGAATAAAAACGTATTTTGCGTAATGCCCGTCATCATCACTGGCTGCTTATTCGCAAAGGGGCCAGTTCCAATTAGTACAGATAATAAGATCTCCATTATATTCTGCTACAACAGCATGTTTTGAATTCCACCCTGAAGAGAGAACTCCTTTTAATGCACCAATGTGAGTGTTTCCATTTTTAAAGCAGTCATCCAAATGGGCTTTTGCAATTCACAGAAATTATAGAATCATAGAATCTTACAGCATAGGAGACCATTAGGCATATCATACCTGTGTAGGCTCTTTGAAAGAGCTATCCAATTAGTCCCATTCCCCTGCTCTTTCTCCAAAGCCTTGCAATTTTTTCCTTTTCAAATATATATCCAGTTCCCTTTTGAAAGTTAGTAATGAATTTCCTTCCATGACCCTTTCAGGCAGTGCATTTCAGAACTCGCTGAGTAAAAAAAAATTCTCGCTATCTCCCCCTCTGGTTCTTTTGCCAATTATCTTGAATCTGTGTCCTCTGTACTGACCCACCATGCTGAATCGTAGACATGTTTTACGGATACATTTCCACTAGGAGTCAGGTGGAGATGCCGAAACCTATTTAGATCCTTGCAGCTGTCTGAGAGCATTATCAATCCAACAGAACTTGCATTACAAAGTGAAAAGCTATCAGTGTACTCAACCCAAGAACTGATGACTTGTGGCAAAAGCTTTTCCTCTGTGTCTGTTTAAAATCAAATTAATAGCAAAGATAAATAAACAGATTCCTGACATATCAGTGCTTAAGTATGAAGAAAGAAAAATCAGGAATTTTGACAAATTCTCTTTATCCACATCAATAGGTCAAAAATATGTTAATGTTATTTTTATGTAGATATTTTATAATCTAGTTGTTGTCTCTAATGCAAGCAGATATAATAATAATAATCCTTGCATTTGAAATAGCGTCTTATCATCTTAAAAAAAATAAAAAAACTTTAATGCCTCTGCTGGCTTTTTAGAAGAGCAACCCAATGAATCCCTCTCCCCGCTCTTTCCTTCACAAAAATGTTTTAATTATTTTTTATTGTAGCATAAGTTGTGTTAGTTGTGTATCGATAAACTTAACTGGGATAAGCACCCAGTACAGTTACTTTATATTATGTGTACAAAATGCAGAATAAAAAATTCTTGCTGCCAACAATTAGTATTTTGGTGCCAAATGTTGATATACTTTCCAATAAATGGAAAAAAAAATTTGTGTGAGAGAAGCTGAAAATGCAAAGCTTATGTAAAATGTTTTTAAATTCCTTTGTCATCGCTGTTTCCCATTCAGGGCCATGTTTGAAGTTCACATGAAGGAACGCGATGATGGAAGTGTAAAAATCACAAATTTATCACCAGAGGCGGTGAGAGCATTTTTGGATTTTGCTTACACGGGGTTTGCAGAGATATCTGAGACCAACGTTGAAATGTTCTTTCAGATGTCGTCCTTTCTTCAGGTATCCCTGCTAGGTAAAGCCTGCAGTGATTTTCTTATTAAATCCCTTGACCTCACCAATTGCTTACAGATTTTGTCTCTGGCTGAGAGTTATGGTTCTACCGCTTTATATGATTATTCTCTGCAGTTTGTAGTGCAGCACTTCTTTCTGCTATTAAAATCCAGCGATTTCTTGGAAATGAACATTGAAATTGTAGAAAAATGTCTTGAAGCAGACAAATTAAACATCCCTGATGAGGAAACTGTTCTGAATGCTGTTCTTCAATGGACTCAGTACAACATAGAGGCTAGAGAAAAACATTTGCCATGTTTGATTAAGTTAGTAAGATTACATCAGCTTTCCAGAGAAACTCTAGAGGACTTGAAAAGATCTGAAAGCTTGCTGGCAAACAGTCCTGAATGCTTGGAGGCCATTTGTGATGTTCTCAATAAACTTGAAGAATATAGTGGGCTTTATCCTGATGCAAGACCATCGACAACAGAAAAATACATTTTCGTCCACAAAACTGAAGAAAGTGGCCTAAGTAAGCATACGTTTTGCTACAATATTGAAAGAGATACCTGGAAGGAGCTGCCCACTGCAAACATTATTGATTTTCCTGGATCAAGTCTGGTTACCTTTGGAGAAAAAATATTCATTACTGGAGGATGCAAGGGCAGCTGCTGTAGATCGATACGACTGCACATTGCGGAAATGCACCACGAAGCTACTGACCATGTCTGGAGCTACTGCCCAAGTACAAACAACCTGACATCCATCCTATCTATGAAAAATGCTCGAACCATGCACACAGCTGTCTCTGCAATGGATCAACTTTTTGTAATCGGTGGGAAAACCACAGGGGCACGGGATATCCTGAGTCTTTTAGATGTTGAATCCTACAACCCTCTTACCAAAGAATGGAAATCAGTTACTCATTTGCCAAGAGGAATATACTACCCGGAAGCAAGTGCATGTGACAATATTATATATGTCCTGGGCTCTGAGGAGGAAATAGCCGATATCTTTAATCCATCATTGGATTGCTTCTTCAGGTACAATGTGGCCTCTGATCAGTGGTCAGTATTGGTGGCAGAATTTGGTCATTTCTTTCATGCCACGCTAGTGAAAGCTGTTCCAGTAAATTGCACTTTGTACATTTGTGATCTTTCTACCTATAAGGTCTATAGTTTCTGTCCTGAGACCTGTGTTTGGAAGGGTGAGGGCTCATTTGAATGTGCTGGTTTTAATGCAGGGGCCATTGGGATCGCAGACAAGATTTATATTCTGGGTGGGGATTATGCTCCCGATGAAATCACTGATGAAGTACAGGTGTACCATAGTAGCAGGTCTGAATGGGAGGAAGTCTCACCAATGCCCAAGGCTTTAACAGAGTTTCACTGTCAGGTGATACAGTTTAACAGATACCGCGATCCCTGGCGTCCCAACCAACCCTGAAGTTTTCACTTAACATTAATTTGTTAATGAATGATGAAAGGTAATAATTTGCTATTTGGTCCACAGAGGTTTTATTTATTTAACCTGTATTTGTTTCCCACTCTCAATTTTCCTCCTCCCTTACCTTTCTAAGGTATCAGAGTGCAGTAACTTGCTGAATTGGTCTTACTTCATGTCTAGGCGCATGTGTGAGCCTACACAGTGAGTCTCAGCAGGCTATTTGGCCAAAGGAAGGGGTCACAGAGAAGCCCAGGCTTGCCCTCACATGTGATGTCTGTACACTTGCACTTTTCAGGAGAAGTCACTGCTCATTTTTCCTCTAACTTGAGGAGATGTCACTGTCTTTGCCAACTATGATAATATGATTTAACACAGCACAAACCAGGGATTGGATACTAGCAATCCATATCACTACCACAATTTATTGAGTTGTAAAACTTCAACACCTCATGCTTCCAGATTGTTAACAAAATACCTTTGACCAATTTAATAAAAAGTAGTGTGAGGTCAAAGTGTGGAATTTGATAACTTTCTGCAATAGAACCTTTGGAATTTTGTCCAAAAAGACAAGTTGGTTGTAGCTTTATTAGAATGTACATTTTTACAAAGGGAAAATAGCCATTTTCATGTTTGCACGGTGGTACAAATTATAATTGATCAAATAATTAAGTTTATTCTGAATCCAAATGAGTGAATAGGCCTCAGGAGTACTCTGTACAATTCTGGTTGTTACACAGCCATCCCACCCACACACACACCACCATCACCACCAGCCTTAAAGGCATTGCACAGAAGAGCAATCTGAATCTGTATAAATTTACGGTGATCGTGTACAGTATTTCTAATGGTGAATTGTTCCAACTGGGTCAGAAGAATAATTATTTTGGTGTATCAACATCCTGGATCATGTATGGTAGAACCGAGCTTTGATTCGCTCAGTCTCCTGGGTTCCAGGGAGAAAGGAAGGGAAATCGTCAGGAAAGGTGTAAGCAACTTGTCCTCTTGTACACTTGCTAACAGCTGGTACAAATCAACATTAGTGGAAGCTTGGGAGGTAGTTTCTCATCCACCCATGCAGCTCCATGAGGATCGTGGCTCATGGAGATGAGCCAAAAATAATTATTCTCAAATATTTTCGAACAGAAGTCCACACTTCGAGTAGGATGTGTCTGACAACTAAAGGACCTGCTTAAATCACACTTAACAAACATTTACATCAAATTATTTTCTACAAAATATAGTGGAGTTTAATACTGTAATACATTCTTATTAAATGTCTCACACTAATTGACTGCAGCCTGTGTCTCTGTCTGAGAGTTGGGATTGTATAAATTTATTTAAATATCTTGTGCTCTGCATTACTACCTTGTTAATGAGAATGTACTGCACGTGTCTCTTTGAATGCAGTCTTGCAAAACAAACCTGATGCAAATATGCTTCTGCTCTCATAAAGAGTCGCCTGTTTTAATGTATCAGATGTCATTGTTATGTGCGTATACTGTGTATTAATGCATGAAAGTAAGAAATCGGGAAGAACTGGAAAACTAACTTTGAATTGTATTGTTATATGCCTTTAAATTGAACTATGGATGAAAGTTCACACCTTCAGTTATACAAACACAATTTAAAGTGCATTATGTTTCTTGAAGCAATCTTGTACTCAGTGTTATCATTGTGAATTTAACTGGATTTAAATATTTATTCCTCATGGCTGATGGCTGCCTGTGTCCTTGAATATAGAAAGCTGAGCTGAAAACTCTCTGCACTAAGAGCAATGTTGTTCATTGCTGAACAAATGGGAGGTACTTGATTGTGAATTGCAAGCAAGTTGTCACATTATTTAGTGGCCAAAGGTGAAAGATACTCATCTTAGTAGCATGGTGAAATGTTCACAGAATTCTTCTTGGAGGTCTGGTACATTTAAGGATCTCCAAGCACTGGATTGAACCATGACCAAAAGGAACACGAAGAAAGCACTACACTGTCAACCCAGTTACATTTATTGACAGCATCTGAGGCACTCAGCCTGCAACTGAAATGTGCACAAAAGTATTCATCTTAATTTATTTTGTATGTATTAGCAAGGCAATACAACAGGAATTTTTGCCAATTTAATTATTTTTCTCTATCAGTTTAACATTATGAAGACATAAAATAACCTAAAATTGTTTGAAGATAAGTGCAATAATAAAGTTTGAGAGTTTGAAAACTACTGTGAACATTTTCGTTTCAAACTTCAGTTTGTAAGAGCACTCACTCTACTTCCAGTGGACAATTAAGGGCAGTGGGCAACATTATAACATTAAGCTAGTGTAGAAAATATCAAACTTAGGTTTATCCTCGGTTTAGAATAAAAAAGGTTAAGACAGAATACTTTAAGCCAGTGGATAATGCATGGATACTACAGTTTTACCTTAGCCTACTGTAGTGAGGTCCTGGAGAGCAATTTGTATTTGCTAAGAGTTAAGTGCTCCTGCAAGTTCATTGTGAGCAAATTACACACATGTAGAACAAATTTAAAAAGCATGTTTTTTATAGCATTATACGTAATGCTAGACTAAATGTGGATGATGTAAAACCTATTTCCTGCCTGTTCTGTTACCAGGTCACTGAAAGTCTTATACTGCAGAACTTACAGGCCACTACAGATAGTGGAGAACTGCATCAGGGATTCTATTTAGTGAAGCGCTGTCTTCAGCAGCCGGCATCACCATAATAGTGCAGGGCAATCGTGAGAGCTGCAGCTGCTCGACCCAGTGTGATGTCAACTTATTTGCTTTGGCAATTTACCACTGACGGTGGATCTTTGACAATGGAACTACCTTCACTGAGCCAGCAAAGTGAATACAGATTCCGTGTATTGCAGACAGAGCATTTCCAAAGTCTAATAAAGGCATCTATAATAGTTAATCAGTTGCACAGTGGGATCCTGTTGAAGTCCAGTAGCGGTTAGAGCACTCGCCTTGCAAGCAAGAGGACGCAAGTTCAATTCCCAGGCAGGGCAAAACTAAGTTTCCTAACTTACACACCTGTTTACCTACAACAACAACAATTTGCATTGATATAGCGCCCTTCACAATGACGGAGTCTGACAACAGTGGAGGAGGAAGGTGACCATAAGCACGATCAAAAAGGAAGGTCTTTAGGCTGCATTTGAAGGTGGGGAGGGAGGGAGAGAGTTTCAGAGTTTTGAGACATAGTTGGCTGAAGGCACGTCTACTGATGATGGAGCGGAGGGCACAAGCCTCAAAAGTAGCATCTCAGAGCGCTTAACAATGGAGGAGCCTGACTCCGAGCCGAGGGGGGTGGGGGAAGTGACTAAGCACGGTTGGAAAGGAAAGTTTTCAGGTGGGACTTGAAAAAGGGGAGAGAGGCGGCAAGGCGGAGGGTTTGAGGGAGAGTGTTCCAGAGCTTCAGGACGTAGTGGCTGAAAGCATGACCCCCAAGAGTGGGGCGGAGGGTGCGAGGGACGAGCAGGGGGCCTGTGCCAGTTGAGCAGGGGTGCTGGGTAGTGTATTGGGGAGTGATGAGGTCAGAGAGGTAGGGAAGTGCCAGGGAGTGAATGGATTTGAACGCGAGCATGAGGATCTTGAAGTCAATCCGTCGGTGATGGGGAGCCAGTGGAGCCTGGCCAGAACTAGTAAGATGTGGATACGGAGTTTGGTCCGAGTAAGTATGTGGGCAGCAGAGTTCTGAATGAGCTAGATCTTTTGAATATTGAAGCTGGGGAGACCAGCGAGGAGTGCGTTTGAGTAATCTAAGCAGGAGGTGATAAACGCACGCACGAGGGTTTTGGCTGCATTTGGGGTAAGGTGCAGTTGGAAGTGGGCAATGTGGCGGAGGTGGAGGAAGGCATTCCTGGTCAGGGACCGGATGCAGGGAAGGAAGAGCAGTTGGAGGTCGAACCAGATACCTAGATTGTGCACTGGTTCGGTGAGTCTGAGGGAGAGTCCAGGGAGGTTGAGGAGTTCAGATCCACAGGAATGAAGATGCTGACGGGAGCCAAAGAGTATGGTTTCCATCTTGTCCATGTTCAGCTGCAGGAAGTTTACACTCATCCAGGCCCTGATATTGGCCGGACAGGCTGATAGAGAACCGGCGGACCTAGAGTAGATGCTGGATGAGGGAAAGTAGATTTGTGTGTCATCCGCATACATGTGGAAGTTTACCCTGTGTCTGCGGATGACATCGCCAAGAGGGAACTTATAGATGAAGAAAAGAAGAGGGCCAGGATGGAGCCCTGGTGTACCCCGCAGGTGACCGGGCAAGGGCCGCAGGAGAAACTATTTGCCAAGATGAAGTGGAGGCGGTTGGTTAAGTAGGACGTGAACCATGCGAGTGTGGTCCCACTAAGGTGGATGAGGGGGGAGAGGCAATGGAGGAGGATGGCGAGGTTGACTGTGTCAAACGCAGCAGAGAGACTCTGTAGCTGTCCTGTGGAGTCCTATAGTTCAGTGGTTAAAGCACTCGCCTTGCAAGCAAGACACCTGGGTTCAATTCCAGGCAGAGCGAAACCTTGGGCAAGTTTCCTTACTCCACATGCCTAATAATAATCCCTCCAAAAAACAAAACAATAATAAATTGGCCATTTTCAATCCAAGACTGTTTGTGGGACATTGCTGTGCGCAATTGGCTGCTGAGTATCGCCCACAAATATACAGTCAATTCACTTTCCAGCATATTCTGTGAAGCACTTTGAGATGTCTAGAAGACATGAAAAGCGCTATATCAAATGCAAGGATTATTATTATGTGTTTGATGTGAGGATAGAAGGGGTTTGAGGGGGTGCACAGAGGAGGTGATGGACAGTGGAAAACAGTGTCTTTGGGTTGTTTTTGGCCTCCAGGATGACTTTGGAGTTAAAGTCAGTTTTGGCCCTTTCAGTGTATCTGATCCCACTTTCTGGTCCCTTGGTCTTGCCCTTTCCCTCTCCTCCTTTAAAGTCTGCCTCAAGACCTCTTTGATGGCACTCTTGGACATTTCCACACACCCCACCCGCCACTCACCTCTCCCACTTCCCCATCCCTTTGTTCCCCCGCCCCCACCCCTTCCAAGCTTTGGAAAGTCTTCCTGACATGAAAGTCGCTATAGAAATGTAAATTTGTTTTTATTTGTTGCACTGGTAAGAACAGGTTCAGCAAATCAAGTCATAACTGCTTGTTTATGGAAGTTTTTAATTTTAAATAATTTTAATTTTTTCTAACTTTATTTAATTCAATACAATCACGAGGATCCCTGGTAACTTTAACCGTTGAAATCCATTGCATCAATGGCATTAATTTACTTTCTGTTTGGAAGGCATTAAAAGCATTAAAGGAAACATGTGGAATCATGGGAGAGGTAGCAGAATAGATAAAAAGAATAGTTAGGAAAACAAAAGCAAAGGGTAGGAGTTAAAGGTATCTTCTCAGGCTGACAAGAGATAGTAAATGGTGTTATGCAGGGACCACTACTGTTCACCATATACATAAATGATTTGAATTCAGGTATTGGAGGTTTGTTGTCAAAATTTGCAGGTGACACCAAACTGGGGATATGCTAAACAGTGAAGGGGATTGCAGTATAATGCAGGAAGACTTCACTATAAAAAGGCTAATAGGGTCTTGCACATTATATCCAGAGGGATAGAATATAATCGTGAGGCGGTGATGTTGAATTTATACAAAACTTTGGTTAGATTACATTTGCAGTATTGTGTCCAATTCTGGTCTCCACACTAAGAATGATATAGCAGTGATGGAACAAGTACAACACAGGTTTACAAGGATGATACCAGAGCTGGCAGGTTACTGCTTTCAGGATACACTGGATAGGTTAGGTCTGTTTTTCGCTTGAGAAGAGATGCATAATGAAAGTTATTAATATTATAAAAGGGCTGGATAAGGTTAACACAAATAGGTTGTTTCCACTGGTTGGAGAGACACAAATATAAGATAGCAACCAGCGGGTCTAACAGAGAATTTAGGAGGAACTGCTTCACACAGAGGGTAGTGATATTGTGGAATTCATTGTCTGAAGCGATAATCAAATATATTAGTATGGATGCATTCAAGAGGAAGCTAGACCTTCACATGATGGAGAGGCGAATAGAAGGGTATGGGAAGGAGTAAGGAATGTGTGAAGGCTTGTGTGCAGTAAAAACTCTGGCACAGACTGCTTGGGCCAAGTGGTCTGTTTCTGTGCTGTACATTCTTTGTAATCTTTGCCATCTCCTGAAAGTTGACCCTCCTTCACAGTTGTTACTTGGCTGCGAGCACTAAGCAATCTGAGCAAATTTTTCACCCATCATGTTAGTTGCAAACATGCAGAAATACAGTAACTACAGCTGATGTCCTGAGAAAAAAGGCAAAGACATCCTAAATAAACTGGGCCTCAGTGAGTGCTGAGAACAAGGCATTCCCTCAATTAGTCATTTAACAAGCTTATCTCAACAGCAACCCAACAACTTGAATTCATATAACACCCTTCATTACAGGATAGTGTCACAGAGCATTGCGCAGTGGTGGGGTTGGACGCCAACAATACAATTTAATGAAAGTGAAGTCATATATTTGACAAAATAATGAAATATGTTGCATTTTGTATAAATGATAAAGAATTGTGCCTTATCTATGGAAAGACTGATGGTGAATTACTGAGCATGTGCAAGTCTTCAGTGTGATTACACAAACAGACCCATGATGTCAGGGGCTGTACCTCTGTGATCTCACTACAGAATGAATTTGCTGGGAAACAAGTGCTATTTACAATGTTGTGTTCAGTTGGAGCATAAAAACAGTCTTGGGGAACACTTGACTGCTTCAAGTGATATTTATTCCAGATTCGGATAAAGTTTTACAATCTTATTATTGCTTTTAAAATTTTTGGAGTAGTATAGAGTTCTGGTAAGGATTTCTAAATACATATTTTATTTAAAATGTATGCTTTTTTATTTTAATTGTTGTTCTATATTTGCCACTCCATGTACCATGAACCTTTCTGTGGGCTTTGGCCTTTGATCAAAGCTGCAAATACCTGTTGATAATCAATACATCTATTTGGGATGATAACTCAACGAAAATTAGCAACTCACTGACTGGGAGGAAATGAGTAGACATTTCAGTTGAGTTGGAGGTACAGAGAGCTTTGGTAAAACTGATTTCCAAATTAAGCCAGAATTTTCTCCAAAATTGAGCAGGATCCTATATTTATGACAATGGTCTTAAAGCATTGAGGGATTTCCGTGCCTTGGTATTTTAACAACCACAAATTATATTTGTATAGCGGCTTTTACATCAGGAGGACATCCCAAGGCGCTGGACAAACACACTCTGTTCTCTGCCATCTGATACTGGGCTGATATTTCTTCATTGTCATTAACTCAAAAGTAGTAGAGTTTATTATAGTAAACCAAATGTGATACCACACAGCAATTGATAAAAATCTTGGTGGAGCATTTTTTAACTTCTCAGCTTCATTTTGCTCGAGATTTTCAACAAAAGAATGCATGTTTTCCAGAAAGTAACTTACATTCATTTTTTGCAGAAGATTCGAGCCGTGCTGTTGATGTGTGCTTTGATGCAATTTGCCACATCAAGTGAGCCTTCATGGAAAAACCAGTAAACAAGAATACTTTGAGAACGGGGCGGGATCATTGTTCTGCCGGTGTTCTCTCAACCAGTAACCTGGACAAAGGTTGCTGTGCCAAACGATGCTCCAGTTCCATCTCAAGACTAGGACCAAAATTGAATACCAGAAAATCATCTTCATTTTCCAGTTTCCCTGCCTCTCATAGTAAGCTCACAGGTCCTATGACACAAGGAGAAGCTGAATTTAAGAACCATCTTCAGAACCTCATTGAATCTTTTTACCAGAACACAGAAGGGCCAAAGAGGAGAGAACGCTCTGAAGTGGTAAAGCCCCAGAAATCAGAAGATCCCTCTTACCGCACCTCACAGAAATGTGCAGCCCGGGACTGGCAAGAGGCTCCATCCAATTTCTGCAATTTAGATTCCTCCTTGACCCAGCATGATCTGGAATATCGATGTGAAAATATAGCTATGAGGCCAAACAGCAACTCATCTGTGTGTAACACTGATTCACCAGCAGAGGCCTCTCTGATATTGAACTCCATTGGCAACCAGCTCCCAGTGAACGTGTATGAGGAGGTGTACTGCCAGATGAAACAACTACAGCGATTGACATATCATGTTGAAAAACTCGGAGAAATGGTAAGCAATAAAAGCTTGTAACATACAGCAATAGTGTTGAATTATAAAATGTTACAGAGCAGAAACTGACCATTTGGCCATCGAGTTTGCATTGCTATTCTTTACGCACATTACCACCTAATCTATTAGCACTTTCTGCTTGCTCCGCATACTCATTAATATTCCTCTTTTTAAAGCCTCTATCAAATTACTTTTTAAAAATAATTGAGATAGATGCCTGAGAAAGAGGACTATTTCTTTGGCATCTCTCTAAAGTCAATCTTTCAAAATAGCAGTTGGTACAGACCTTCAAAATCAGCCTGAACCCATCCACCTTTAGGGATTAGATTCACAGCTGAATTTGAATTGACATGTTTTTCCAACTTCATTGAAAGATCCCTGAGAGGGAACGCTCAGGTATCCAGCTCATCCATATTCACTTTTAGATACATGCATAGCAGGTAACAATTTTAGAATCAAATGCAAGGATTGTAATCTGGAAATTGTGGTTTTGATGACAACAGACTAAGAAACTGATTGCACTGTGTTGCTATTAGAATAGATAATATATTGTCCACAAAATATACAGTCAATTCACTTTACAGTACATTCTGTGAAACACTTTGAGACGCCTCGAACAAGTGTGTTCTGGCGCTATATCAAATGCAAGGATTATTATTAAATTAAAATCAAAGTAAGAGGACTAAGCTGATGACTTAAATACTGAGTTCAATTAATGGTTTACTTTGTGCCTGCCTTCTCAAAGCAAATTGTGCCATTGTGTAAATGGCATACAAAAGCAACTTGCACAAAATATACAGTCAATTCACTTTACAGTGTATTCTATGAAGCGTTTTGAGACGTCTGGAAGATGTGATAAGGCACTATATCAAATGCAAGGACTATTATTATTATTATTAAACACACGTTATGCAGGATAGCATCTTGGAGTGCTGAGAGATGGATTTGTCTCAGAATCTCACATTGTGACAAATCACTGCCTGCTGATGTCGATGGAACCTTTAAGCTCAGGAGGGTCACAATCGAGCAGGGAAAGGGCATCTTAATCTAAGATGTTAACCAAACGTGCATCAAAGAGATGTGATCTTAAGTGTTCTAAATGTAAGGAATGAGGATGAAATGCCAAAATATCTTAGAAGAGAGTTTCAGAGGAGAGTGAGGAGTGCGGATGGTTCAGTGATGAGACGAAAGAAGAGAGGCGCAAGCAATAAACCAGAATTGGAGCAGAGGATACAAGGATAGGACGCTACTGGGACGCTACCCTGCTCTTTAGGATGTTACCCTGCATGAGGGGCGCTACATAAATGCAAGTTGTTGCTGTTGTTGTTGGAAGAAATTTCATAGACAGCAAAGGGGCAAGATTGTGTATAGATCTGAAGATAAGAAGAAGAACAACAACAACAACAAGATTCCATTTATAAAGCGCCTTTCACGTCAGGAGGACGTCCCAAGGCGCTGCACAGTTGGGTCATGACCCGAGCTTGGGGGAAATGGTCAGGGTGAGGGAAGGGAGGGAGTAAGGAGGGGGGAAATGGTCAGGGTGAGGGGAGGGAAGGGAGGGAGCGAGGAGGGGGAAGAGAGTCGAGAGGGGAGCTGAAGGCTAAAACAAGGATTTAAATGTCAATCCACTCAGTACTGGGAATCAGAAAGAAACAATTCTAGAAAAGGAGATTTATTTCAGAGCAAACCTAACAGAGTCTAAATTTGAAGTCTTAAAGCAATCAATCATGTTTGTAAATAAAATGGTTTACTATGCAAATGGTTACTGAAGAAATGTGGAATCGCCATGCCTGGTTTTAGCAACATAGTTAAGTGCCTGTGTTCAAGACAGCTATCTCATGTCACCATCATATGTCAGCAGGCATTAATTTGTTTTGTGAGTTGAAGCTGTGTTTTTTCTTACTTGATAATCCATTCATTTGAGGGTGAAATATTTTTAGATGACCCATTTGAAACTTAATTTGTTAAATCTCCTACCTCATAACCCCAAATCAGCCTGTCCGCTCCCTCTGCTCGGCGAACAACGGCCTGCTTCAGGTTCCCCGCACTTCCCACCCCACCATTGGCGGTCAGGCATTCAGCATCTCTGCCCCCACTCTCTGGAATTCTATGCTGCAAACCCTCCGCCTCACCCCCTCTCTTGCCTCCTTCAAGTCCTGTCTGAAGGTCTTCCTCTTCGACTGTGCCTTCAGCCACTCTTCTGACTCAGGCTAGAGTGCTACTGATTGAGCCAGACTGATACACAAATCTACGTGTCCAACAAGCAATGAAAATTAGATGAGCGTAAAGGTCAGACAAATATACTGGATCACTAATGGTTTACAGCAGTGAACCATAAATCATACTTACTGCTGACTTATGATGTCTTATAATAGCTTCCCCTCTTGTTTTACAATACAGCATCCCCTGCTAATATGTCATACCAAGTAAAAAAAGAAAGAACTTGCATTTTTATAGTGCCAACATTGAAATGTCTCTGGGTGTTTCACTATAATTTTAGTCATTTGTACCTGTACCACAGTTCCACAACCAGCCATGAGTTTAATGATTGGAGGCCTGTTGTCCAGGACACCAGGAAAAACTTCCTTCCCTTCTCAAATCAAACCATTTTTTTTTATGTCTGTCTGAAGAATAGGACTTTGGATTAATGGAAAATGTGGAATCCTGTAGTATTAGTTAGAGCGCTCGCCTCGCAAGCGAGAGGACCTAGGTTTGATTTCCTGGCAGGGTGAAACATTTGGCAAGTTTCCTTACTCCACATGCCTCTGTTCACCTAGCAGTAAGTAGGAACCCGGTTGTTAGTCAATAGGTGGATCGCTTTCTAGGGGTAGTAATCCCTTCAAAAAAATGAATTACAAAAAATAATTTGGTCACTCAATTCACGACTGTTTGTGAGACACTGCTGTGCATAATTCACTGGTGCATTTTGCCCACAAAATATACAGTGAATTAATTTTACAGTATATTCTGTGAAGCGCTTCAAGACATCTTGAATATGTGATATCAAATGCAAGGATTATTATTATTATCATCATACAAAGATTGACATCTCTAAAAAATCAGCATCTCCCAGTACTGCACTGGTATCAGAGTTGACTATGAGTTCAAGTCCTGACCTGGGCTTGCACCCACAATCTTGTGACCCAGAGGCAAAAATGCTATCCCATGACTCAAATGGAGACTTTGGTTCAGTTGGTAGCACATTCCTTTAATGTTTCTTTGTTATGTTTTGATCCTGTGTTCTTGCCAGAAAGAAGTGTCATTATCCTACAAATCTGATTCTCAAGAACAATTTAAATATCTTGTTTATTGTCACTACTTGAAATTGACTACAAAATAATTGGGGGTTAAAATCACAAAAATTCTGGTTAAAATTAAAAATGGACAAACCATCACTTAGATAATGTTCATCGTTTAAAAATATTTCTGGCCTTAGTAAGTTGTGACTATCCCTCCGCCCACTTCAATTTCCCTTCCCCCCTCAACTTTTTGTTCTGCCCTCAAACTCTCCTCCCCCCCTTCCCAGCCAGTGATTACTTCTGACCACATTTTTTAGTCAACGTAATAATATCACATTCCACAATTTTAACCCTTGTCAGATTGTAAAACTTAACACCTTTGGACAGTCTATGGTGCTTCTCCACTCTTTACGGTTCATGAATAAATGGTGAGTAAAATCATCTGTGGTGATATGCAATGAATGATTATTGCATATTTAGGCCCCATGAGTGATTGCATTAACTGAGCAACATAAGAACAATTAGATTGTTTAACTATTTATTTAATTACAGCAAGATCAGACATGAAGGAAAGATGCATTAGCTTGCTAAAATTCATTTCAATTCTCCATAGAAATCAACAGTTTGGAGACTGACATTTCCATTATTTGATCAGATGGTATTGGCTTCAGATGGCTTTGTGCTTCAAGCAATATTACAGGGTATATATAATGATAACAAGATATGCATTTCAACAAAGGAATAGAAAGAATAACTAGTACACGTTGTATGTTTCAGTATACAGACATTATCAATAACTACCATGACCAGTTTATTCAAAATCCTCTTTCAAATTAAGCTGCCATTTTATACAACAACAATGACAGCTTGCACTTTAGATAGCGGCTTTCAGGTAGGACGGTTGCAAAGACTGAGCAGGGAAAACAATTTGAGGGGTATTCATCAAAAGGACAGTCAGAGGTCCATTTTTAAGAAGGGTTATGGACAAGGGGAGAGAGAAAATATGGGTTGAAGAGTTTTGAATGAGTTGAAGCTATGGAAGGTGGAGCTAAAGACGCTGGTGGGGAAAGCATTGGAGAAATCTAGAGCAAATCCACATATGTACCACCATACAGTACTGTTTTGTCCTATTTTCTGACCAGTAAATGGTGCTTCAGAATATTCTGCTGTCAAGTGGTCTTTGATGAGCTGCAGCGTTGTCATGTTTTCTTGTACCCACATGTAAAGAGGCCATGGTGTCCTCAGCTGCTGGCCATGCTCCCTCCCCTTAACAGTCATGGGAGATTTAGGGAATTTCGCACATCGTGCTAATGTCACAAACCAGCAAACACATAACACATTACTCTCTGTGGTGTCTTTTGAGAACAGTAGGATGGTAAAAATAGTCGGACATTTGACAAAAGACGTAATGTAACAACACCAAAACAGAAGCAAATGGCTGCACAGTTATACCATCTGCATACTACCCATTGAACAGCCCCTTACAAATACAGCGAGCCATCACAGACTGGCACAACTTATTTCACAGACTAGTCATTAGAGGGCAGGGTTTCTCAATCCTGATATGATTTAACAAGCATCCACATGAGCAGCACAGTAATGACTACTACCATGAAATTAAGGAAGAGTTCTTGTGTGGATCGGTCCATGGCTGTTGAGTGTTTGAGGCAGGAAGGCAGAACCGCTTCCAAATAGACCACTTCAAGAGAGTCAGCACCTCAGAGTGGGCAGCCAGATGAACTGGGAAGGATAGTACTCGACCACTCTTTACAGCCTCAGCTTGTCTGAAATAAAGATTGCACAGTTCTTTCTGATTAGTATAAACATACGTTTCTGTAAAACAAATGTGAGGAGAAACATTTATTATTAACTAAACAAGCAGCCTGCCCTTTTAAAAAAAAATTCAGAAATTAAATCTCAATCATTTTTGATCTGCTGTTCTGAATCACACGTGTTAAAGTTTAGAAGATATGTATCATTGGTGATCAATACGTATCGCAGTGGATTGGCGAAGTTCTCTGGTTTAAATCTAGCCCCAGATTACAGGAATCAATCTCCTTTTTGGCTCTAATTGACTTACTGACACCAATTTGAGCAGTCTTAACAACAACAACAACAACAAGATTACATTTGTATAGCGCCTTTCAGTCGGGAAGACGTCCCAAGGCGCTGGACAGTGAATGCGAATGTGGATCCAGAGCGCTAAACTGTTTGGAGCAACTTGGCGTTAAACCAGCAATGTCACTCTGAGACCATCGGGACAGGTGGTGTACGAACTGAGAAAATGCTGCACTGCTGGAAGAGAGGCTGCTCTTCAGAGGCTGGAGTTCAGATACATTGTTTGTGCCAAAAAAAGATAACTTTATTCACGGTTAAAGGCCAACCACCATGTGACCTTGGAGTGCTCAACACGGTGAGTTCCCAAAATGGTAATGTGTTCAGGGCTGACTCACCTCACCTGAACAAGCACAAACCCAAAGTGCCAGAAGTGCTTAGTGAAGCTTTAATGGACAAGACCATCAATCAAGCCTTCCCCGTCACCTGCACAATAATTTGTAAATGGCACAAATAACCCAGTCATGAAACTTGTCAGCTGAAAATGTCTAAAATAATAAATGATAATAATCCTTGTATTTGACATATTTATCACGTCATTGAGACGTCTCGAAGCTCTTCACAGCATATACTGTAAAATTAATTATCTGTATATTTTGTTGACGAAAAGTCCATAAGGTACGTATCCCAGTTAGGTCTGTATGATACACTGTAGAAGAAGCATCTAAGAGTTCAAATAGTTTTATAAGAAATGGTTACAGCCAAAAAAATACATCCTTTAATAATGCCCGTCTGAGGGAAATAAATGACGTTTTTGTGCTTTCCAACATGACCATCCACAACAAGCAAAGTTACATTAATATTTTGATTGGTTTATTCTAATATTGTACTTCTGTAACCTTGAGGATATGTGCTATCAGATTACAGAGGCATTTAATTTGTGCTCAGCATTGGCTCTCAGTAAAACGGCTGATAATAATCCTAGCATTTGATATAGCGCTTTTCACATCTTTGCGACGTCTCAAAGCGCTTCACAGAATATACTGTAAAGTGAATTGACTGTATATTTGTGGGCAAAACAGGTCAGTCAATTGCGCACAGCAGTGTCCCACAAACAGTCGTGGAATGAGTGACCAAATTATTTTTTTTTATTAAGCGTGTGGAGTAAGGAAACATACCCAAGGTTTTGCCCTGCTGAGAATTAAACCCAGGTCTCTTGCTTGCGAGGCGAGTGCTCTAAGCACTGAGCTATAGGACTCATTTTTTTGGCTGTGTGATATGGATATAACTCATAATGATATGGATACCTAACCATTTCTCTGGCTTTGACCTGAGAATACTTTGAATTTTAATGCCTAACATTTACCATTTGAAAAAATTCAATGCTGCAATGATACTTTGTTGAGCAAAAGGTTTAGGACACTACATTTGGAAAAATAAAGCAAATTTTAAAAAAAAATGCTGTTTAGATAATGCATAAACTAATTGCTTGCGACTTTATTGTCATACGAAAACGGTTAACTAATTGAATAAAAATAAATACAAGTCTGGCTATCTATTCTGACAGCTTATATTTTTATTCAGATGGGATATTACAGTAAAATGAGATATTAAATATGTTTTGAGGATTAGAGGTTTTCACAATAGATCTATATTAACAGTTATCACACAAGATCTTCTGTTCTGTAAATAGTTAGAGTTACATTTGAGCCTTAACAAGTTTATTGCCATATTTAACCATCTGTGTTTATATCAGATTATAAAAATAGTTATATTTATCATTGTCAAAAGGAATTCCTATGACCCTGAATACTAAAAATGTAAATCTGTTAACGTAATACATCCTCTGATTTTCAACTTTCTTTGATTAATCTAAAATTAATCTAAAATCTAAAAAGTCTTTGCAATCCCTGAAGAGGTATTACTTTCTGGTGAGTTTACAGTTAAGTGAACTGTACAGCTCTATGAACTGTGCAACTATGCAGAAATATCATTGATGCTATTTCAATCTAGTTGAATGAATAAGTGTCACATTTCATAAGTTGGAGAATTGTAAATCACATTATGGCAATTAGATTTGAAAGTTAGCAGCTAAATATTTTTGTATTAATGTACAACTGGAATTAATGTTTGATTCTAATTTTAGATAAAATACAGCTGGATTATTTTGAGATAATACAATACTTAAAATGGGAAATCCCTTAAAGATGCCAGGCCTATTTGTTTTGGATAAAATTGACTGTTTAACTTGGGCAATCAACACAGCACTCGTGTTTTGCTTAGCTTATTCCGATGCTTTTTATTCATTATTGAAAAAAAAGATCATTCAAGAAATAAGCGTGGAACTATTAGGAAGTTTGAAGAGCATCAATTATTAAGTAATATGGAAATATAAGAAAATGTTAGACAATATATACCACACATTTTATACATTACCTATTGAGCAAATTGTTTGAATGTTGTGGCTGTTAATGGTTCTCTGGATCTGGGCTGATAGTTCCTGTCTATCTTCAACTGCAGTCTGGGCAGAGCATTTCTGAGTGGAATATAAAGTAGTCTAAGAGGGAGGGGAGTACCCGAATTTTGGCAGGAAAAGCAATGATGTCACAGATAAAGTATAACTGTGGGTTGATTGGCCTGAGGGATTTTGACATCTCAAAGTACTTCCTAATTAATTATGCCCATTGAGGAGCTTTTTCGAAAACATGGTAAAAAGTATGTAGAATCGGAAGCAGAAAACAAAATGACTGTACTTTACTCGCAGAGGTTTCAAAAGAAAAAATAACAATGCAATATTATTTAAGTTGCAATAAAACTTTCCATGAACTTATTCAGTCTAATGCTAATTAGTCTGTTCCAGAGTTTTGACACCTTTGCTCAATTATTACCCTTTCTCTTATAATAATAATAATAATCTTGTCACACACTCACATGCACAGACACAAACAACACATACAAAATGCTCCTGCTGAGCATATCTTTTATATGACAGACGTATTCACGTAGCCACAATGTAATCAGCCAAGTAGGTGGAGTGAGTACAGGCATCACTGGCAAACTCATAAACATAAACAGTGTTTAGGTGGTGAATTGGAGCACATCAATTGTTTGTGGCTCAGTGGTTAGAGCACTTGCCTCGCAAGCGAGAGACCTGGGTTCGGTTCCCGGCAGAGCAAAGTAGAGTAAGGAAACTTGAGCAAGTTTCCTTACTCCACACGCTTAATAATAATCCCTCAAGAAAAAAAATAATAAATTGGTCACTTCAATCCACGACTGTTTGTGGGACACTACTGTGGGCAATTGGCTGCCAAGTCTCGCCCACAAATATACAGTCAATTCACTTTACAGTATATTCTGTGAAGCGCTTTGAGACGTATCAAATGCAAGGATTATTATTGTGAGATGAAGTTCCAGGTAATGAATGTTCCAAATAGAGGCCTGGAGAGTCATCTGGTACATGGTTAGTCTATCCTAACAATGTACCTGATGAGTCCTGTATCGAATTGGTCAGAGCACTCGCCTCGCAAGCGAGAGGACCCACGTTCAATTCCCGGTCAGGGCAAAACTTTAGGCAAGTTTCTTTACTCCACACGCATTTGTTTACCAAGTAATAAGTAGGGGAATCCAGTTGGTAGTCGATTGCAGATCGCTTAATTAGGGTAACAATTTTTTCAATTTTTTTATTAAAAAAATTAATATTAAGAATTTGGTCAGTCAATCCACGGCTGTTTGTGGGACATTGCTGTGCGCAATTGGTTGCCACGTTTCACCCACAAAATATATAATCAATTTACATTGCAGTATATTCTCTGAAGCGCTTTCAGACGTTTCAACGACGTGATAAGGTCCTATATCAAATGCAAGGATTATTGTTATTATTTTTATTATTAATGGAAGCAAGGCTGACAAGTGGCATGTTACATCTAATTCAAGAACATTACATAGCTGAAGTGTTATTTTGCTTTCAGGCTAAAATTTAAGTGGCTGCTATTGTAGCCATTTCTTTCTAGTTCTTTCAACAACAACAACAAAATTACATTGAGAGCGCCTTTCAGAGTTAAACACGATCCAACACCCACCCTGCTTCCTTCATCAGGCACACAAACACCTGTTACTGTCTGCTGCACTTGATACTGTATGGAGCTCTCCAGAGTTCTCACATTGCTTGGCGAAATATTCCTTGCACACGGCTGCAACTCAAACTTCAACTGTCCCATGGTATATGCCTAAGATTTAGAAAAGCATTTTTTTTATTTCAGCATGAAATAAATATATCTCTTTATTTCGTTTTTTGTTTTCTCATTCCTGTTTCTCCTTTCTTGCAATCTTGAGCAGCAGCCTGCATGTAAACGCAACAACAACAACAAATTACGTTTATACAGTGCCTTATACGGCATCTGGAGGCCATCCCAAGGCACTGGGCTGTCGAGAGTTTGCACTCAAGCTGGGGGTTGGATTCGGGAGGGGCGGAGGACCAGAGGTGGGGGTGGGGAAGATGGCCAAAGGCACAGTCAACAAGGAAGGTCTTCAGATGGACCTTGAAGGAGGCGAGTGAAAGGACAACAACAAAATTACATTTATATAGCGCCTTTTATGTTGGTAGGACATCCCAAGGCGCTGGACAATCAGTGTTCGGAACCAAGCTGAGGGTTGGTATCAGGGAGGGTGGAGGGCAGGGGTGGGAAGGAGGGTGATCAAAGGCATGGTCAAAAAGGAGGGTCTTGAAGGAGACAAGGGAGGGGGCGAGGTGGAGGGACTGCAGGATGGAGTTCCAAAGAGTGGAGGTAGAATGGCTGAAGAACTGCCTGCCAATGGTGGGGCAGATGAGGTGGGGATGTGAAGCAGCCTGGAGCCCACTGAGCGGAGGGAGCGGAAAGGTTGGTAGAGGGTTAGGAGGTCACAGAGGTAGGGGGGAGCAAGGCCACGGAGGACTTTGAAAGTAAGGACCAGGATCTTGAACTGTATTTTCTAGGAAACCAGTGGAGCCGGGCGAGGATGGTGGTGATAGGCTTAAGAAGCCTTGTGTGGGAGAGGACACAAGCTGTAGGGTTCTGCATGGTTTGCAGCTTCTCAATGGGAAGAATTGGGAAGCCCAGTGAACAGAGAGTTGGCGTAGACCAAGATCAGATTGAACCGAATATACACACATAAACATAGTTCTGAATTTGAGGTTTATTAACACTACTCACACCCCGCTCTTAACTGTCAAGTTTCCTCTGGCCTATGTGGCTAGAACATTGGCTTCCTTTGTCCTGTCCTCAGGGTATCATAAAATCATAGAATTATACAGCACAGAAGGAGGCCATTTGGCCCATCGTGTCTGTGCTGGCTCTTTGAAAAGAACAATCCAAATAAATCCTACTCTCCTACTCTCTCCCCATAGCCCTAGAAACTTGTCCTCCCTAAATAATTATCTACTTCTCTCTTAAAAATTGTTATCGAATCGGTTTCCACCACCCTTTCAGGCAATGCATTCCAGATCTGAACAGCTCGCAGTGTGAAAAAATTTCTCCTCACCTCCCCTCTTTCAACAATTATTTTAAATCGGTGTCCTCGGGTTACCAACCCACCCACCAGTGGAAATAATTTCTCCTTGTTCACCCTATGAAATCCCCTCATAATTTTGGAAACTTCTATTCAGTCTCCTCTTAACCTTCTCTGCTCCAAGGAGAATAATCCTAGCTTCTCTCGCCTTTCCTGATAACTGAAGTCCCTCATTCCTGGTACCATTCTGGTAAATCTCCTTTGCACTCTCTCCAATGCCTTGACATCCTTCCTAAATGTGGTGCCGAAAACTGAACACAGTACTCTAGCTGAGGCAGTGTTTTATAAAGGTTCATCATAACTTCCTGACTTTTGTATTCTATGTTCCTATTTATAAAGCCTAGTATCCTTATGCTTTTTTAACAGCTTTATTTACCTGTCCTGCCACTTTCAAAGATTTACTTATATGAACCCCCAGGTCTCTCTGTTCCTTCACTCCCTTTAAGATTCTACCATCAGCTTATATTGCCTCTCCTCATTCTTCCTCCCAAAATACATCACTTTGCATTTCTCCACATTAAACTTCATCTGCCACGTGTCTGCCCATTTTACCAGTCTGTCTATGTCCTCTTGCAGTCTGCTGCTATCCTCCTCACTGTTTACTACTACTTTTCCTAGCTTAGTATCATCTGCAAACTTGGAAATTGTACTCTCTATACCCAAGTCCAAGTCATTTATATAAAAACAGCAGTGATCCCAATACCGACCCCTGAGGGACACCATTGCACAGTTCCCTCCAGTCAGAAAAACAACCACTCTCTGCTTGCTGTCTCCCAGTCAGTTCTGTATCCATGATGCCACTGTCCCTTTAATGCCGTGGGCTTCTATTTTGCTTACAAGTCTCTTATGTGGCACTTTGTCAAACGTCTTTTGAAAATCCATATAAATCCATCAACTGCACTATCTTCATCTACCCTCTCTGTTATTTCATCAAAAAAATGAGGACCTTCCTGTCCCTACGTCCAGAGCAGAGAAAGATTCCTGGGAATTTGGTTTCCCCCTTTTCGCTCCAATCAAAATAGCCCAACCAAAGCAGCCTCCACGCTGCCACTGCTCAGTCTTTAACTTCCAGAGCCCCCCCCACCCAGCTTACCAGCCTTCCACCTGCCAGTACCCAGCTGGTTACAATATCTTGTCCAAATGACCTCAAATTGTGAGTCTAGTCAACTTATAATAATAATAATCCTTGCATTTGATACAATGCCTCATCACATTGCTAAGTCGCTTCAAAGTGCTTCATAGAATTTACTGTAAAGTGTATTGACTGTATATTTTGTGGGCGAAACCGACAGCCAATTGCACACAGCAGCGTCCAACAAACAGTCGTGGATTGAGTGACCACANTTTTTTTAAGTGAATATTATCCCCGGAAAGTGATCCAACAACCAGGTTCCTACTTACTGTCTGGGTAAACAGAGGCATGTGAAGTAAGGAAAGTTGCCTAAGGTCTCGATCTCACCTGAGTCCTCTTGCCTGCGAGTTAACCACTACTATAAGGACCCTTTACTTTACTCTGAGCCCCTCCTTGGGGTCAGTGCCAGACCTCTGCTAGCCTCTCACTAATAAATTGATTTCCCATTATTACTCCATAATGCCTCCTCAGCTCAAACCTGTAACAATGAACTTGCCGTAAACTTTTTCCTTCTGGCCCTGCTGTACCACTGCAGTATTTGTAAGACTATTTTGTCACCTCGTCTGAATTTGTCAAGACAGAGCCTGCCTAGATGTTACAGTCAGCAATTTGGAACCTGAGTTGTAAGTCAACACTAATAGCTACAATCTCAGCAGGTTGCCCCATAGCTAAATGCCAATGTTTCACCATAGGGTATGAATGTTTGTTGCTGCTATATGACTTCAGTACAAAGATTCAAGTTCAATCTGAGTTGTTATGTGGACTTTAAATGTCCCATAATTTTTTTTCAAAAAGAGAAGGATGTGTCTCCTGTGTCTTTGCCAGCAATACTTCAGATACAATAGTAATTCACCTCTTGACTGTTTGTGGGATT